ATGTTGTTCCTGTCTGGACTTATTGGCTTTTAAACATTTCGCCAGAAAGTGCCCTGCAGTTCCAGAACAAGCCGCTAGGGGGCCCAAACTCATATGACTTCTTCCCAAGCACGAGAGCTACCTTCCATCAAAATTTCATGACCCTAGCATGTCCAGATCGCGAGATATACAAAACCGGAAGTTGCGCTGCAGTACCAAGGGAAGCCACTAGGGGGACCAAAATCTCATCATTTCCAGTTTTCGTCACACCCTACCAACACATCAAGTATGAAACCAATCCATCCAGGCGTTCTTGAGTTATCTTGTTGACCAACAGACAGACAGAAGGAAGGACGGATAAACGCAACTGAAAATATAACCTCCATGACACATTTCATGGAGGTAATAATTAACCGTCTTTATCTTTAAAACTAGAATTCCGAGATCTCATACCTCCATGAAATATGATCTTGATATGTAAATGTAAATTTCTTCTTTAATTGTTCAAATGACCTCTGCATTAACATGATATATGCATCGTGATGTATGTTAACTTTTGATTAACTTACAGATGTCCCAAGTATGACATTCTCATCATTCACAATTACGAAATCATAGAACTTTCACATTAATTATGCAAATTAGGTCATCATTTGCATAATTAGTATCTGTTAAAGTTCCGCCTGCCCTAGGTTACATAGTATAATGTAAAACACTGTAATTATAGAATTACCTCATTAATTATGCAAATAAAGTCCTCATTTGCATAATTTACATTTAATTATGTACATCTCTCTCTCAGCTACCTACACACCAAAAATAATGAAAATATGTTGTTCCTGTCTGGACTTATTGGCTTTTAAACATTTCGCCAGAAAGTGCCCTGCAGTTCCAGAACAAGCCGCTAGGGGGCCCAAACTCATATGACTTCTTCCTAAGCACGAGAGCTACCTTCCATCAAAATTTCATGACCCTAGCAAGTCCAGATCGCGAGATAATGTAAAACACTGTAATTATAGAATTTCCTCATTAATTATTCAAATAAAATCCTCATTTGCATAGTTTGCATTTAATTATGTACATCTCTCTCTCAGCTACCTACACACCAAAAATAATGAAAATATGTTGTTCCTGTCTGGACTTATTGGCTTTTAAACATTTCGCCAGAAAGTGCCCTGTAGTTCCAGAACAAGCCGCTAGGGGGCCCAAACTCATATGACTTCTTCCCAAGCACGAGAGCTACCTTCCATCAAAATTTCATGACCCTAGCATGTCCAGATCGCGAGATATCAAAACCGGAAGTTGCGCTGCAGTACCAAGGGAAGCCACTAGGGGGACCAAAATTTCATCATTTCCAGTTTTCGTCACACCCTACCAACACACCAAGTATGAAACCAATCCATCCAGGCGTTCTTGAGTTATCTTGTTGACCAACAGACAGACAGAAGGAAGGACGGATAAACGCAACTGAAAATATAACCTCCATGACACATTTCATGGAGGTATTGACTAAATGCTTATTTGGTACATCATTCTTTAAATTGATTCAGAGCAGTAATGTCAATGTAAAAAATTGGATCAGAATGTATTTTTTGGCTTACTAAATCAAATTACATGTAGTTATGATACACAGTATCGAAATGTATTTAAATGTACTGTACATGATTACAAGTTACAAACAAAATGTAATCAGTCCGTTGGGACTAAGGGTTTAGTATTTAAGACAGATACGATTACTATAAAATTGCTAGTATTAACTATGAAGACTTTGAACCACTAACCCAGCCTTGCGACACATATTGACTAGATGCTCCCTCTCCGTGGAGCTGTGTTGCATAGACCCGATCTCCCTGGTGCAGCGGGTCAGAATCTCCTCCACATCAGCACTGTGTTGCCATGGCAACTGGTGAGAACCTGGCCTGCAGAAGACAAGAAAATTTGACATGTAATCAACATGAGTGAAACCAGTAGGGAAGAAAAAGGATGACCAGTTCAATTTCAGGACGTATTTCAATACAACTCAGATATCCACAGTTACAGTACTAGAAAGCAAAATGATTTAAGGCCAATCCTGACAAAGTCAAATATGAAACAGTTCACGATAATGTTTAGAGGCCCCTTAATTTGGAACAGTTTAAGTCACTCACAGCAAAATTGTCAATCCCTTCCAACTTTCAAAAGACATTTAAAAACTGACCTGATAGAGAAGCCAACTACCACTTCCTGATTTGCTTTTGTTTTCCTTGTTTTCTTATGCTATTTTCTTTGTGTTAATATTGGTTTCTTATGTTGTTCTTACTCATAACAACTTATGATTTGACTAATGGAAATTTATTTTTTTTGTTCAATATGATTTGTTCTTGATTGTCTTACTTTATTGTTTAGATATTTAATTCGCCGTGTTAACTTCATATTATCTTGTACCTATTTTGAGTTAATTTGTTTGCTTGTCCCTTAATACATTGCAAGTTAAATGTAAATGTAATAAATGTATGTAAATAAGAGATCGTAAAATTAATAGGATTTGGGAGAGTCCACTAGACAAACCTTCAGGTTTCTTGGGCTCTCCAGCATATATTTGCTTGTATATAATTTCATTTTATACTGTTACTTTTTTATGTGCAAACTGACAATAAACAATAAACAATGACCTATGCTGAAATTTTGGAGAGTTTCAACGGTTATCACATGTAGGGCAGTATTTAGAGAGTACAGCCCAGGACAGCTGTTGCAGCTGCTATACTTGTACATGCCAGGACTAGCATTTAGGGCAGTAAGTATGTAAGATGTGTGAAAGATATGGTTTAGTTAAGATACGGTGGTTGGTTGCTATATCCTTATTCAAAAATTCAACACGTGAAACCATCCATAAACAATCTTCACATCATGAGGTCAGGGTTTCTCGGTCCCAGATCCTCCCTCCAATCCAATTTATCTGTCATGGCACTCACCAGTTATTCCTTAGATACATGTAGACCTACAATGCACACATGTACATCACCAGCCAGTTGGTCTGTGTAGGTCAGGCAATTTCCTGACACGTCACCGATCTTGTGCCGTTGGGAAAGGCACTTAACACAAATTTCCCCACTAGACTCAAGTGAAAATGAGTATTGTCTGACTGTCCAGTATTTGTTTCTATGTGCGGGACACAACACCAGCAACAGCTGCCTCTGTTCCGCGTGTATTGCACTGTTGCAGTTTCAATAAATCAAATAAATTTCTTGAATGTGTAACTATTGCTTACCTTGGCTCCCCCTGCCCAGTGAACAGCAGCCCCCTGTCTGGAGCCCCGACAGTGAGAGCAGAGTTTAACCACTGCTGCAGGACGGATTCATCTCTGTACAGGGACTGGAGCAACTCAGATCTGTAACATACAATAGCAGGTTTCATCAGGTTAGAGAAGTATAGGACACAGGAGTTTTCTTTTACACAACCAAGATAGTTTACCTTGCTTACATTTCGGTGTCCATCAGACACCTTCCTCAGAGCGTCTGACTACAGTTCTGCTTCTCAACGCTATGTGTAATTGATGTGGAGGGGGGGGGGGTACAAACTTAGCCATGTTTGGGATTGTGTTCTCGCCACAAAATTGCCACCTACATTGGCTACAAATAGCGGCGAGAAGCAGAACTCCAGTCAGAAACTCTAAGGAAGGTGTCTGATAGACACTGAAACATCAGCAAGGTAAACTATCTAAGTTGGTTGTGTAAAAGAAATCTCCTGTATCCTTTCGGATGATGACTGCCAACCAAACCAGCAACAGAGGAAAGAAACAACAATAACACAGTGACTTTACTCACTGTTTGTGTCTGGGTAAGGCCTGTATCTTGTGTACGTAGTACAGGAAGTGTTGAGGAGAGTCCTGACAGAACTGAGCCACTTCCCAGGGTTGGATCTGAGGGTAGATCTGCACACATGTGTCCAACACTGGCTCTGGGGACAGCTGGAACACACTGGGGAGAGAAACAGGTGTGGATTATACAACAGTTACTGGTAACACTGTACTACAGCTGTACATGTATCTCCCAGGAGTAGAGCAGGAACATACTAGGGAGAGATACAGTTATACAACAGTTACTGGCAACACTGTACTACAGTATCTCCCAGGGCTGGATCTGAGGGTAGATCTGCACACATGTGTCCAACACTGGCTCTGGGGACAGCTGGAACACACTGGGGAGAGAAACAGGTGTGGATTATACAACAGTTACTGGTAACACTGTACTACAGCTGTACATGTATCTCCCAGGAGTAGAGCAGGAACATACTAGGGAGAGATACAGTTATACAACAGTTACTGGTAACACTGTACTACAGTATCTCCCAGGGCTGGACCTGAGGGTAGATCTGCACACATGTGTCCAACACTGGCTCTGGGGACAGCTGGAACACACTGGGGAGAGATACAGTTGTGGGTTATACAACAGTTACTGGTAACACTGTACTACAGTATCTCCCAGGGCTGGACCTGAGGGTAGATCTGCACACATGTGTCCAACACTGGTTCTGGGGACAGCAGGAACACACTGGGGAGAGAAACAGTTATATAACAGTTACTGGTAACACTGTGCTACTGTATCTCCCAGGGCTGGACCTGAGGGTAGATCTGCACACATGTGTCCAACACTGGTTCTGGGGACAGCAGGAACACACTGGGGAGAGAAACAGTTATATAAAAGTTACTGGTAACACTGTGCTAACAGTATCTCCCAGGGCTGGACCTGAGGGTAGATCTGCACACATGTGTCCAGCACTGGCTCTGAGGATAGCAGGAACACACTGGGGAGAGAAACAGGTGTGGGTTATACAACAGTTACTGGTAACACTGTACTACTGTATCTCCCAGGGCTGGACCTGAGGGTAGATCTGCACACATGTGTCCAGCACTGGTTCTGGGGACAGCTGAAATACACTGGGGAGAGATACAGGTGTGGGTTATACAACAGTTACTGGTAACACTGTACTACAGCTGTACATGTATCTCCCAGGAGTAGAGCAGGAACATACTAGGGAGAGATACAGTTATACAACAGTTACTGGTAACACTGTACTACAGTATCTCCCAGGAGTATATAGCAGGAACACACTGGGGAGAGATAAAGTGGTGGGTTATACAGTACAACAGTTACTGGCAACACTGTACTACAGCTGTATCTCCCAGGAGTAGAGCAGGAACATACTAGGGAGAGATACAGTTATACAACAATTACTGGTAACACTGTGCTACTGTATCTCCCAGGGCTGGACCTGAGGGTAGATCTGTACACATGTGTCTAACACTGGTTCTGGGGATAGCAGGAACACACTGGGGAGAGATACAGGTGTGGGTTATACTACAGTTACTGGTAACACTGTACTACTGTATCTCCCAGGGCTGGACCTGAGGGTAGATCTGTACACATGTGTCCAACACTGGTTCTGGGGACAGCAGGAGTACACTGGGGAGAGAAACAGTTATACAACAGTTACTGGTAACACTGTACTAACAGTATCTCCCAGGGCTGGACCTGAGGGTAGATCTGCACACATGTGTCCAACACTGGTTCTGGGGACAGCAGGAACACACTGGGGAGAGAAACAGTTATACTACAGTTACTGCTAACACTGTACTACAGTATCTCCCAGGGCTGGACCTGAGGGTAGATCTGTACACATGTGTCCAACACTGGGTCTGGGGACAGCAAGAATACACTGGGGGAGATACAGTTATACAGGTGTTGCTACATTGTAGTTACTGTACATGTTATATATATATTACTAGTCAGGTCAATGTTTATTGCACAACAATTGTAATAACATAAGGCAAACTGTTGTATAATGCTACCAGCACCAGCTAATATCAAAGTTGGTTGCCCAAGTGTGTGGGTCTCAGATTCGCAACCTGTTATCCACCTTAAACAGATCCACACGAAGGCCACCGTGTCAACTGTGACCCTCACTCAGGTGTAGGGACTGACACGGTCATCCTACTTGGAAAATCTGTATCTGTATATCTGTACATGAATGTGTATCTGAATCTGCATTTGACTGCAAACAAAGATATCGAGTGATTACCATAGTAGTAGTATAATATCAAAGTAGCACAATTTACACCTTGATTCAAAGCTTTACCAGTGTATACACAACATGATTGTAGAGCTGGAGTTGTAGGAAACATACCATAGAAAGGAACAGGTAGCAGTCTAAAATCATTTTTTGTTTTGCTTCTTTTTTTGTATTCTCATCTGTACAGCGGCCAACTCACCCGTGTAAGCAGGACAGAACTGCCCCTCCGTCTGTCAACTCTTTTGTCTTCACAAGTTTCAGGCATTCCTCCACATCGCCCCTAGTGACCAGATCCGGTACTGCACCCTCACAGTGTAGGGCTGGAACAAAACAAAACAGCAAAGTAAGAAATGCTCCTCCTTTAAGAAAAAAAAACAGAGGTCTCGAGAAAAGGAACTGAAGACAAAGTTATTAAGCGTTAAGAAAACTTGTCACAATTGGCAAAAGCTTTGCTGCACACAATAATATGAATATAAATTTTTAAAATGTACATGTAAGGTAGAAAGAGCAAGAAGACTTGTTGACGTTGTTTTATTCCAGAAGCTTGCACTAGAAAGTTTAAATTTAGCCATGAACAACTGCCAGTGGTTATAACTTAAATATTATGCTATTTACATTCACAAATGTTACAAAGTAATATAAAAAAGTCCATGTCCTTACCATTTAGACACTGCACAAGTCCCTCCCACACTTTGGTTCTAGGCCCTCTTCTGTGCTGTAGTGTTTTTCTCACTGCTTCAACATCCAAGAAATGGAAATGACACTTCAAGAACTGAGCAGCAGTCCTGTCCCACTCCTCCTCTTCATGAGACAAGGAAGCTGATTGGCTGGTTGCTGACAGATGCTGACCTTCCTTACTTTGTGGACCAATCAGTGAGAAGCTACTATTGTCATCGTAAGTCCTGTCAGATTCAGGTGCTTCCTGTTGTAACACAGATTCTGATTGGCTGAGGACATCAAGATTGTCACAGCCAGTGCTGTCTTGTCCAATCACATGTGAGGATACAGGCATATCTTTAGACTGAGAAGATGTTCCATTCTCTTTGAAGACACCAAACTGGAAACAAAACGTCACCAGCTCAGAAATTTCTGCATGGCTGTCTTCCTTTAACAGAAAAGGGTCTAAGACATGGAATCCCTCCCGGATCACAACTTCTTGAAGATCCTCCATTTCTTGGGGATTCTCAGCATTGTTCTTCGGAATGTGATCTTCCTTAGATGTCTCGTCTTGAGAATGAACCTCAAGATTGTTCAGGAGTGTTTGAGCTTCTTCCTCTGTCTTGGCATGAGATTTAGCACCTTCAGGGCTGCCACTGTTCAAGGTCACGACCTTGCCATCAATGTCATTGTCAGAAATCTTGTCTTCTTCTTCCCCTAAAGTTCTGTGTTCAGAAACGTCTTCGTTTCGGCTTGCTTCTCCTTCCAACACACTGTCACATTCTGCAGGACTGTCCTGTGGTATTACAGATTCCTCAACCCCTTCAAGTGCCCTTGAGTCTGTGTCTTGACCTTCAGTTTCTAACTTGCCTTGCTGCACGTTTTCAACATCAGTGCACCCGTTACTTGGGTCAGTTCTTTCAGGACCACTGTCTTCCACGACCTCTGACACCTGCCCTTTCACCTCTGACCCACTCCTGACCTTTGCGTTGTGTTCTCTCACGGTTCTATAGAGGTTCTGTAGAGCCGTCTCCAGGTGCGGTAACCATGCCGACAGAACAGTTCTGGCTTGGTCGGGGTTGAACAGAACTCCTGGGTCCTTCAACTTTTCACTAAGGGTGGAAAAGAGATGTTATTATATTATATGCCAAAAAGCAGTTAAGCAACTAGATATGATTTGGTCAAACATTTCAGGTAGTATAACTTTATATATTGATAACTGTATTTAGCCTTCTCCCTGCTGCCTAACCCCACATTGGTGCCTTTGCAGGCTGATGGCAAAAGAAATTTTGAGAGATTAGGGTAGTTAGACTTGAAGGCAGACATGTAGGGCTCTTGTTCATGTTCTTGTGCACTTAGCCTCTGCCAAATTTAAAAAGTTGTGGTTAGAAGAAATTTAATTTGTCCATAATCCATAATCTTATTGAAGACAAAAAAAATGTTAAACTCTGCTTTACTAACTCTGCGTTTAAATTACTAACAGTGTGACAGCCTGAATAAAAGTTCTAAAGAGGAACTATGTGGCTCCAGATGTCTTACTGAGGGACGAATGTGTGTGCGAGATGTCGGTAAGCTTGAGGAATGAATCCACTCTTACTACTATATTCTGCTTTACTAACTTGTAAAGCTCTTAGTACTTTCTCAGTAACTAAAGGCTAAGTGAATGAACAGATCTGTATTGTGATACACATGTATACATGTAATAAAGACCCCACCTGGTGTCCCTGGTGGCCTGCAGCAGGACAGTGACATCCACACGTGGTCCAGACTCTCTCCTCCTCTCCTCACACACCTGCTGGCCTGCTGAGTCTGTTGCCATGGAGATGCTGTTGTCCTGGTTACCTCCAAAGGCATCCTCAAACACGTCATCATCCTGAGTTGGAAGTACAAGGAAAGAATTTTATTTTTCCTGATCCTCAATGGCTACAGATTACATTTCTTTGCTTTGTTGAAGAAAGCAACTGAAACAAATTATTAAAAAACCCATTTACAAAATTGAGCTTATAATTCTTTTTGTTTGGGTCTCTCTTTCACTATCTGTGTGTGTTTATGTGTTTATATCCCACCTCATCCCTGTACCTGTCTGTCTGCCTGTGTGTGTGTGTTTACGTGTATAACCCACCTGGTCCCCGCCCCTGTCTGCCTGTGCATCTGGTCTCCTCATGGTCTGTGTGTGAGAGAGCATGAGTGTGTGTGTCTGTGTATGTCTGTGTGTGTTTATGTGTATGTGTGTGTGTCTATGTGAAAGTGTCTGTGGTATGTATGTGTGTTTGTAAGATTATAGTTTGCTATCCCACCTGTTCCCCTCCCATCTGCCTGTGCGTCCGGCCGCCTCATGGTCTACCTGTGTGTGTGTGTGTGTGTATCTGCCTGTGTGTATGTTTGTCTGCCAGTGTGTATGTAAGCATACCTGTGTCTGTGTATGTCTGTGTGTGTTTATGTGTGTATGTAGTTTGCTATCGCACCTGGTCCCCGCCCCTGTCTGCCTGTGCGTCTGGTCTCCTGATGGTCTGCCTGATGCGCCCGATCTGTTCGTTCTCCTGAATCGCCCTCATCAGAGACTTGGACTTGGTGGCCAGCTTACTGCGGGAGTCCTGCAGACGGGTGGACAACCTGGGAAGGAACAAGGGAAATGTCTTAGACATAAGATTTTAAGTTCGAGTTTTCAAGTCTTGTAGACAATCTGGGTTTGAGGAGCCATTGCAAATGTCTTAGAGACCTGCAGCAGCACACGTACAGATGTCTATTGAATATCTTAGACCTTAGCCTTACTTAGTGTTACTGCTCACTTTGCCATCTGGAAGACAGTCTATGGCCAATAACAAAAATTGCAAATATTCTTGAGGTGACGTTAGCAAAACAGAACAATGTAACATTAAAAAAGGAAATATTTTTGGGTGAATAATTTCTTAAAATGATTTTGCTCAATGCATTGAAGTCAAATTAAAGGTCACTTCTAGGTACTGATGAACCAAGGTGTGATAGGAACCAATTTGACCTTGAAACAGCTCCCTTACTTGTCCTTCATGACCTTGAGCTGTTGCTGTACCACGGGTGAGGAGGACAGCTCAGGGGTCGCGCCGCCCTCCGGAGTGTCGCTGTCCGACGACAGCCGACCCGTCTTCAGCGTGCTCATCTTCTGCTGAAACGCTGAGCGCAGGTCTGCGGCAAAGGTCACAGCAAGCAAGTTACGACTTTATATGTAGATAAGTTAGTACTATAGGATACTGTTTTCAGATATCTCCTCCTTTGAATTTGGAGGTACTTTTGAGGTCTGTTACTTTTGGTCATTGCATTTGGAAAAATATTTGGTGAAAATACTTTGATGTGTTTTGCTGTGTAGATTTTTTTATGTGAAATATTTGAAAAAAAAAACTGTTGCTAAAGCTGTCATTTGATTGGCTAGTTGACTAATTAGGCAATAATCATGAGAGAGGCAACACTGATAGACTAATAAGAAATAGTAGGCCTGATGGAATATGTACTTAGTAGGTCTTACAGAGCTGGTTGATGAAGAAATTATAGTTTGTTGGGAACTTAAATGACAGATATTATAATTTCTCATCATTTGTCTGGTTACTAGGCTGATTGATGAGTTCATTTGGTCTCTTATTGGAAATTATGACTTGTTCATTTTGCTTCAACTTCGTGAAAGCAGATTCAATGTTAGAATCAGGGCATTTGATTTTTGCCATTTACGATTTTATTGTATGAATTTGCATGATTTTGTCTGAATTTTTTTCTGCTGCAGAAACACCAAACAAACCTTTCATTTTTTCCCATGTTGCATCTAAACTCTTTGACCTTTTGGGGCTCTTATCATCTGGAGAACAGGATAGTGATTATGAAGATGAACACAAACATTTATTTAGTAGACTGTGAAACTTGACAGAACATCATGTACAAGTACAAGACAGTCGCAGAGTCAGAGGTTTAGGTACATGTATAGGACCCAGAAGATCAACCTGCACATTAACAATTTGACAAAGTTAACTTTTGGTCTTCTATAAAAAAAATGAATAAATAAACTTACTCTTAAGTGTGTGTCTATTCACTGACAGGTACAGTAACAGAGCATTTTCAAAAACTGTTCTTAGTACCTAAAGAGTATCCCTATCATGTTGTGAGAGATATTACACAATATACCAGTTTACTTTAATTTAGCAGCCAATAGAATAGTAAATTTGCCAGATCCCTTTTCCGTTCCCCCTTTAGATCCTGGTTACCCCCACCCCGTGAGACTACCCACATCAGAACATGCAAACAGACTAACCAGCTCACTGCCCCCCTCCCCAGAACAAATCGATATAAAAATAGCCTGATCCCTTGTCTTACAAACCTATTAAACAAATATGGCACATAGTAAATCTCCCATGACCAATCCTATCAAAATTAGTTTTTATGTAACATACTATAAAATTATTATTTTTACACTGATGATATTGATTACTTATTGGTTGATATTGTGAATATTGTTTTAGTATAAGTTCATTTTACGCTCTTTTTTAGTTGCCTATATGTTTATTATTAACTGTGAAATACTCACTTGTTTAAGTTGTCTATTTGTTACTCGTAACTGTGCAATACATGTATTTGTCTCTCTGTTTTTAAACACTAGCATGCAATTCAGAGCTACTTTTTTAGTTGCGCTGCCACGTGCTAGCGATTGTACTTACTGATCAATCATCAATAAACAATTATTATTATCTAATAACTTGTCAACACATGAACTTTCTAAGCTACCATATGCATGAGCAAACCATGTGTACTTGTGATACACGTTAGTCCACCTACCTGACAGCTGTGACTCCACTGCTGAGCCTTCTGACAGGGACAAGTTGGAAATGTCTGAAAACAAACAGATGTTTAGACAATAAGACTGAGTACAATAAGCATCACATTTTCAGGTATTATGTCAGATGAAGTGTCATATTTATCATCAGAATATGGGTTTAATATTTGGTAGGTTGACTAAGTTATAATCTGAATAACCACATTTTTCATAATTCACATTTAATCGTCATTTTAATCACAATTATGGCAGTGCAAGGAACATTAAACACCAATTGAAAGAAATTCGAAATGACAAAATATTCAAAATCTTCCAATTGTGTATTCCCGACATCTTAAATACTGCACCAGTTGCGATGATCCGTTCCTACCTGCACTGTTGGGTCTCTTCTTCTTCTTCCTCCTGCCCTTGACCTGTTTGCCCTCCCTCTGCACCACCAACTCATCCGCTTCCAGGTCAACGTTCGCAAACCTGTCCAGCTGTGCCCTTTGACCCCTCACCTCCTCTGACCTGTGAACTTCAACCCTGGCTTCCTCGCTCACTTGCGTCAGGTCTGGGGTATCCTGACTGTTGGGAACAGTTGTTTCCATGGCAAGCAGTGGCGTTGAGTTAACGTTTTCCACTTCCGGGGAAAACATCTGGTATTTCTCAGGAAACTGGCTTGTCTCCATGGTTACGGTAGTTTCAACCTCCGTCTTGACGTCGTCCTCCAAAACCTCCTCACCCGTCCCGCTGTCGCTGGCCCCCGCGACCTCTGACCCCCCGGCAGCCATCTTGGATCCCAACGACCTTGGGGAGACGTTTGCGCCGTCGCTGTTCCCGCTGTCGCAGGAGTGCATGCTGGTCTTTTCCGGGTCGGAGGCGCTGCTCTCAGTTTCCACCACGGCTGTCTGTTCCTTCAAAGCTAGACTTTCCACATTTTCCACATCGTCTCTTTTCTCCTGCATTGAAACGAAGCTTTCCACATGCTCTACATTGTCTTGTGTTGTTGTCACTACTTTCGCTCCAGAAGTTGTCGCTTCCTGTGAAGAAATCAGGGAAGGAGCGACGCCATCTTCCTTGCCGACCTCCGCAGAGGTCGGGGGGTCAGACACAAGGTCAAACTTGGGCCTGGCTATCCCATCCTGCCCTGGGGCGTCCTCCTCGGCCCAGCTGAATTCTGGGAGGCTGTCGACGGACTCCTGGCTCCCCCTTCGGCTGTGGACTTGGTATATCCCAGACTGCAGCATGCTCACACTGCCGATGGAGCTCACACTGGAGCGGCCGCTGCTCTGGTTGGAACTGGTGCTGTCAACGTTTAGCTCGATCCTGGATAAAACAGACAGAAACAAGACTGTAACGTGATCTGTAACATGACACTGGAGCGGCCGATGCTCTGGTTGGAACTGGTGCTGTCTACGTTCAACTTGATCCTGGGTAAAACAAGTAAAGACAAGTCAAAGTCAGTCAAAGACTGTACAGTCATTTATATCATATCCGGGCCGCAATAACGTTCGATAACGGGTTCCGGACCGGGCCGTACTTTACGGTACGGCCCGGTCCGGAACCCGTTATCGAACGCTTCCATGGCTTCCATAAAACGGTTCGAACGTGTTTCGCCCTACCCGCTTGTGCCCCTTTCGAAAATTCGAATACAGAATCCGGACGTTGGAATTGATGTTGTTGCATTTTAGGGTTTAGTGGCACCGACTTTTGGCTCATCTTGCATTGAAAGGCGTGTTTTCTTGGATGGGTATGACATAAATAAAATACAACACGGTGTATTCCGCATCGCCCTCGGTCCCGGCCCTTCCGCGAGTCGGATCGCCCGCAGGCCGGAGGGCGATCCGACCCGCAGTCGGGCCGATACCTCGGGTGATACGGAATACCCCGTGTTGTATTCTATATATTATGTAGCTTAGAGTGGCAAAGTGGTCTCAGATTTGTGGTTAGGTTAAAGTGAGGTTTGTTAATGATAGAGCTAACACTGGAGCAGCCACTGCTCTGGTTGGAACTGGTGCTGTCTTCGTTCAACTCAATCCTGGATAAAACAAGTACAAACAGACTGTAACTTGATCTGTAACTTAATGGTTGATTTAGTTGCAACGGTGGAGCGACTGGTCAGAACTGGTTCTGTCATCATTGAACTCAATCCTAAATTTAAAAAAAAGGAACAGACTGCCTTATAGAGATGGCTTGTGTTTTGGTTAGGGCAGGGATTGTTGACCAAACTGACACAGGAGCGACTGCTGTTCTGATTAGGCCACACCAATTTAATTTGTTGGTTCTCGGATTGTTTGGGAAAAAATATGAGCTACCACCAAGCTCCAGCATCAGTGTGCAAGCACGTCTAACCCTCGGAACACGAGGAACAACAGACTTTAATCCGGATAGAGACTGAGAGAGATGTACCCACCTGTTGAGGAGTTCCTCCAGCTGGTCCAGCAGCTCGTCTGAGTCGTCCGTCGCGCCCAGGTGCTGCCTCAGCTCCGTTACCATGGAGACAGGCACAGCACGGCGCGCCTTCATTGGGATCACTGACGGCTGGTAGTGACAACACACCTGGGAAGTACACAGATAGACCACATTATCACCTTAAGGCCACACCAATTTAATTTGTTGGTTCTCGGATTTTTTTGAAAAAAATATGAAGTGACAGGGCGAAAAAATAAAAAAATAAAAACAGGTCTAGGCATCCTATTATAACCCCAAATGCTATGATAGGAGCCATGAATTCAACACAAAAGGCTGGGTTATATTTAAACAGTGAATTTTGAACTTTTAATCAAACCACTGCATTGATAGATGGCAAAAAAACTGTAACAACTAGGAAGAAAAGGAATTTCCTCAACTGTTGGGGGCAAAATATGAGCATTTTTTAGTTGATTCTGAACCAAAATCTTTTTTTTTTTTGCAAATCAGAAAAAAATAAAGAGGCGAATCCAAGAACCAACAAATTAAATTGGTGTGGCCTAAGTTTAGAAAATATCACAGATTCTTTCTTATGTTTACCAAAGGAAAACATTGTTTTTCCTCAGTTTCTTCCTCTTCTTCTTCTAACAAGTAAGGTCAATGACCTGAACCAGACGTCTCTCACCATGGTAACTAGTGTTGGGTTTTGCATAATGTTTCAATTTTACAGCAGGTGGGCTTTAGACTGTCACCATATATAATACATTAATGTGTTTGAGAATTAAAAATCAACAAAGCTTGTTAATTAAGCTGGGCCATGTGAAGGTAAATGTTATGCATTTGCTTTGCAAAACCTTTCTAGTTGACCATGAATTTTATGAGGCACAATGTATGGGAGAAATGACCAGAAAAAAACCCGAGTATCAGAGTTTAACATACTGTTAACAATAATAAAAGCAATGACAAATTTGTACTGCTCCAAAATGACTATCCATCCTAACCTAACTCCTCAGGTCAATTTTATGCTTTATTTATTCACTCAATGTCAAATTTACATGTCAATCTTATCACTTTTCACCTATCGCTGCAGGGACAGGTGCTACTACATTTTCAAAGCTGTTGTAATACCAACAAGAATATTTAGGAAAATATTTTAGTCAACATTAAAAGTGTCATATTATTAATCATAATAATAGTATGGAACAGTTAAAAGCAATTAGCCATGTAGATTAAATTATTATAAGAATAATACATGTAGTCATATAAGGAGAAATACAATGACTGGGGTGATAACCTAAGAGAGAGGTTTTACCCACCTGAGCACAGAGTCTCCACATCTGCTTGGAGAAGAGTTTCCCCACACACTTGTCCACAGATAGGAGGGAGAGACGAGATACACGACAGTCGGTGTGGAACAGGTAAGCATCGTTCTTATAACACCTCACATCAGCGACATCTGTAAACAACAGGAATTACTGTATTGTTAGAGAGGAGGGAGTCAGTGTGGAACAGGTAAGCATCGTTCTTATAACATCTCACATCAGCGATATCTGTAAACAACATGTGCTCCCTCATTAGTTACAGTGTCTATTGAAAGAAAAGGACAAGAAACAGTAACTGTCATAACAGCTTTTCTGACAAGTCTCCAGTGTCGCTGATGAAACTAGCGGATGCTATCTGAAACATCATTATTTCCAAAATCATACCCAGTTGCTTGTCAATGAGTAAATGTTTTTTGGTGTATCTTCTTACCTGGATGTCTAACCTTCACTGATGTATCAAGACTTAGTGACTGTAATGCATTTAAGTACCAGCGGTATTAACCCAGGAATGATGGGTTAAAAAACATGTTTTTGCATCAGTCTATTGTACATGTACGTGTAGAGCAGAACTGCTACCAACAAGTACAGAAGGGGCATCCTGACTAGAAATAGTAATGAGTAATGTCATCATCTCTGTTATATGTGACAAAACTTGTTTTATAGAGAGGGCTAAAGCATGCAAATAGAATTATGCAGAAGCTGTTATCTGATATAGCAGTCCTATCCCATACTTCACTCAACTATTGAACAAATGTACCAGGTCCTGTTAAAATCTCCTAAGTGTTACCAACTCACCTTTAAACCTGTCCGTCCACATGACCAGCTGGACCCTGGCAGGGTCTATAATGAACAGTCCCTGCTGAGTCCATGTCAGCAGCAAACGGTTACTGGGGGAAAATGAGAGAACAAGTTTACAAAATGTACACAGCTTCTATGATCATTTCCTAGAAGATTTAGGGAAAGGAGGATTCTCAAGATTATCAGTCAAATACTTTGAAATGAAGTCCACTTGTGGTTGTTTCATTTTGTTTGCATTTTGACATATCAGAGAACCAAGGAAATGAATTATTACTTTTTATTGCAACACTGTGATGTTACTTACTTGAACATGAGAATCCTGGAGAAGGTGAGAGACTGTGCAGGGTTAGGGTTAGGGTTAGGGTTAGGGTTAGGGTTGGGGTTGGGGTTGTGTTACTTTAATACTTGAACATAAGAATCCTGGAGAAGGTGAGAGACTGTGCAGGGTTAGGGTTAGGGTTAGGGTTAGAGTTGTGTTGTGTTTTATGTTACTTACTTGAACATGAGAATCCTGGAGAAGGTGAGAGACTGTGCAGGGTAGCTGGCGCCTGGAGGAGGGAACCTCGGCTCATACCTGCAGCAAAAACAGACATAAAACATCAGCCGGATCTTTACATCTGCTTGGAGATTATTTAACAACAGCCAATGTAGTACAAAGAACCGACAATGGAGTTTTTTATTGCAAGTTTATGCCCCAGGGCTAATTGCAAACTGACCAGGACAATGAGTACAGAATGTATTGAGGAATGGTATAAAAACCATAAGCTAACATAGTTCTAAATAAATCTAACTTTCTATCTAATATGTTGTAATTCTTGCCAAATTATATTATTTATGTTTTGTAAATGTGTGTCATGTGTGTCTTGAAGGACCACAGGCTACAATGCAATTTTTGTAAGCTAAGTGTGGATCCCAATAAAGTCTAAGTCTTCTGTCTCTACTCAAAACTGATAATGTATGCGTATGTGACAGAAAGTGGCATATGTAATTATTATACTTATTAGACAGGTACAATGTAAGAGGAACATGGTAACTAAAACTATATAATAACCACTTAAGATAATAATAACACAATTCAATTCAATTTTATTTAACCAGTAATTACAGCTCAGGCCATTTTGGCCTGCTTTTCAGGTAATCCTGGATACACGTAAAAATACACAAAAAATACACAGTACATAAACTATTACTAAATACAACATCCTAAACACAGCTCTGTCCTGACCTGTTGGAGATGACCGGAGCAGGCGGCACGGCTAACAGTTTCTTCAACTGGTGGGTGTTCAACACATTACCCTCAAAATCAACCTGGCAGGGAAAGAGACAGAAATTACAGGGTCTTAAAGAAATTGATTATGGGGAATGGTGAATGGTACATGTGGTACATGTACATGTACCACAGAATACGCTGCGACATGATGGGATCCATATACAAAGAAAGACAAAGACAAATTGGAAAGGGTACAGAATCAAGCTGCAAGATTCTGTATGAACAACTATGTAAGAGGTGCTAGTGCCACGGAAATGAAAAGAAACCTACAGTGGACCTCACTGGAAGACAGAAGAAAGATGTCTAGACTATGCATGATGTACAAAATGACTAATAAACTGGTGGATGTCCCAACTACTAAGTACTTAATACCAGCCCAGAAGAGAACAAGAAATAGCCACGCATTCAAGTACCAGAGTTATCAACCAAGGATTGAGGTGTTCAAGAATTCATTCTTTCCTAGAACTATCGCAGAGTGGAACTCACTGTCACCAAGTACAGTAGGGGCATTGTCAATAGATAGCTTTAAACAATGTCTAGAGCTAGAAGTTCAAGGGTTAGGTGTAACAAGTCAATTGGTGTAATATAGCCAGCTGCCGCCGCGCCGCGTGCCTGCGAAGCTGGTGTGTTACGCCGAAAGGCGGTTATACCGGCTATACAGATACAGATACAGATGTCTCTGTTTCCCTCAAAATCAACTTGATGAGAGAAGAAAAATCTGACTTAAAGATTCTAATATATTATATCATTAGAATCTTTTACAAAAGGCCTGGAAACCAATCATACAGGACTGTGAGTAAGCAGTCACTGTACATGTGGTACATGTGCCTCAGTCTGTTTCCCTTCAATCAAGTATATGCTCTGGAATTCCTGATAGATGAAGACTAAAAAAAAATCAGTTTTACCATTGACGTCTTACCAACAATGTTTAACATGAAGGTATACTATAAATGAATAGGGCAACTTATTTCTAACTTTGTAAGATTTTATAATTATATTATGTCTAAATCCCTGCTGTACTGACCTCCCAGATCCTGGATCCCGGGCGAGCGGAGTAGATGGCGGGAACCTGGCCGGTTGACGTGCGGAAAAAACACGCTCCAAACTTCCCGTCTCGCGGCTTCTTCCCTACGTGCCAGAACTTCTCCCTGGAAAAACAAAGGAAAGTTTCCAACATATTGCAGCCCTTAAAATTCATTTTTGATGTTTGCAATTTGATGCTTCTAAATTACTTTAGATTTACAGAAAAATCTATGAAACTGCAGACATGCTTTCATGTCCATCAAAATGTATTCTCAATATATTAATCACACATTGTCTTTCTGACCAAGAAAGAAGAGACAAAAGCTTTTAAGGGCACAGTATACATTGCAGGTGTCTGCAAGAGCTTCTATATATAAGTTGAGCGTGTCACACACTGCCAGGTAATACCTTGTTAGGGTGGACAGGTATCCTTACCTGAGCGTGTCACACACTGCCAGGTAATACTTTGTTAGAGTGGACAGGTATCCTTACCTGAGCGTGTCACACACTGCCAGGTAATACTTTGTTAGAGTGGACAGGTATCCTTACCTGAGCGTGTCACACACTGCCAGGTAATACTTTGTTAGGGTGGACAGGTATGTATAAAGAGAGAAAAGAGGTAGCCTTTACCTGAGCGTGTCACACAGGTAACACCACGTTAGAGTGGACAGGTGTACTTACCTGAGCGTGTCACACACTGCCAGGTAATACTTTGTTAGGGTGGACAGGTATGTATAAAGAGAGAAAAGAGGTGTCTATACCTGAGTGTGTCACACAGGTAACACCACGTTAGAGTGGACAGGTGTACTTACCTGAGCGTGTCACACACTGCCAGGTAAGACTTTGTTAGAGTGGACAGGTGTATATAAAGAGAGAAAAGAGGTATCCTTACCTGAGTGTGTCACACAGGTAACATCTCGTTAGAGTGGACACCATCAGACGTTCGTTAGCGAAGTCCAGCTGCACCACGCTGGAGTCTGCCGTCAGGAGGAGTTCTGTGGGAACTTTGAAGAACCCCTTCGCCTGGTGGAAAGGGTAAATGGGACTCGTAAACATGTAAAACATTCTGTCAACAGTATATATATATATACATGTATGTACATAATTCCAGTACTTACAGGATAGTGGAATTATGTACTGGTATTAGACCAGTATGGAGAAATACTAACTATACATATCAAAACCAAAATCAACATCTTTAAAAGCAATGGTCTGAGGGTTCTGCTGTATGGTGCAGAGTGCTGGAAGGAGATGGCATAAACTGTATATACAAATGTCTGCGACGGATTCTCAAAATCTTTTGGCCTAACACCATGTCAAACAAGAATATACACCTTAACTTATGTTCTGTGCTCGTAGGTGGAGATGGCTTGGCCATGTTACTTGCAAACCAACAACTGATTTGACAATAGTGGCATTGAGGTGGACGCCACAGGGTAACATGAGGACATGCAGACCAAGTAAATCCTACCTTCCCGGAGGACGGCACGTTTGCGACCGACACCTTCCCCGCGTCGTCCCCGACGAACAGGCGCGAGGACTTGTCGTCCCACTGCAGCGCCACCACCGTGTTCCCACGGTGTTCCGGCGAGATGCGCAGCCGCTCCGGCTTCGCTCGTCTCTCGATGTTCAGCTCCCAAACCACCACCAGACCTCGACTGGGGGGACATGTACAAGCAATCACAGATCTCAGACGTCAGGAAAGTAAAGACTTGTAAGACTCACTGGAAAAAGTAAAAATCTTGGACTCAGAACCGGATTTCTTTGCACAGGGGATTAAAGAGGCCATCTACATCAGGACATTACAACCATCCCTCAACAGAGACGGGGGGCACCACAGACTTTCTGCAACCTATGGCCCACTGCTCACGGAGTCACGTGTGTTATCTGTGTGACGTCACGGAAGCGGTGGATTGTTCATTCCTTGACAAAGACTGGAGTTGTACAGTCGAAAATTTGGGTGAATCCCATTTCTTGTGTTGGAAATTACAGTTTAAACTTGCTTCATAAAGACTTGTAAGACTTCACATCAGACAGCCTCATTTTCTAACGTCAACTCTCATTTCCTCCAGACCACCAGTATCTTTAAAACAGACTTGTATATATATTTGACTTTATCCAGCATACAAGCCAATGGAACAGCTCACCTGGTTGCTATGGCAACAAGGTTGTCATCAGGTGCAGAGGTCACCATCGTGATGGCTCCTTCCTAGTGACAGGGAAACCAGATAGGGAAAATTGTATTACACGTAAGTCTATAACATTTGCCGCGTCGATGAAGGTTAGACATCCAGGTAATACGATACGCCAAAAAACAGTTACTCAAGCAACTGGATATGATTTTGAAAACGTCAAGATTTGAAAACGTCATTTGCCACTCAGTCCAGAGGTCAATAGCTGCCAGTTCCAGTCACAGTGAGTTTTTGACAGCTGTTAAAGCTTTGTAAGTTGGTTCCACAGTATCTGAGTTGGTGTCTGGCCTCTTGAGGAGACCTAATCATTATCAGTCCCTGACAGACAGCAGGACATTGTGTAAAACAGGCTTAGTAAATATGTACTAGGTGGAATTCTCACTTATGACATTACATGTACCTTGTTAGCCAGCAGCTGGAGACACTTGAGTTTCTCCCTGTGGAACAGGTACAGACCCCCCGTGGTGGCCCCCAGGCTGATGAACCGACGAGACACGCTCAGGCATGTGTACTGCGGAAAAACAACAGGAAATAAACAAACAAATACATTTTGTAAACACACTCACTCACTCAATAACTCACTTACTCTCAGTCCCGTATCTCCTTAGCCATACACTAAACACACACATAAACAAATGATCTAAAAACTTACATTGCTTGAAGTACATGTACACATATTTGTATTTGTAGTAAGATATTTTCACATTTCATATTTCTATTGTTGCATCATGATACACATATGAAAGTGTCATAGAAACTTCTCCCCCTGGATGTTATATGAAAGTTCAAGAGGGATTTTTTGTCCAGTAGTACTCATAAGAACTTAAGATCTGTCTGTTCCATCAGAAGAAATTCTGACCTTGATTCTTGTTGACGTCTTGATCGGAGCCAGCAGGTCTTCCATCGAGCTGAGGTCGGTCAGGACGTGAGCTCCCGGGTCATAGGTCATGGCTGGGGTCAGGGCTGTGCTGGAGCTAGGGTCAAGGGTCACACCAGGGGTCGGGGCTGGGCCGGGCTCTGGTTCCATGATCATGCACTGTAAGAATAATTTCCAAGTCACCTACTAGTCAGCACAGCAGTTTCAAACTACTACATGTAGGACGGTGTTTGGGTCTTTACATACAACTCCTGCCAAAATAAAAGTAGACTTTTGGTTACCAGAAAACATGCTGTCACGAGATACACACCAGCTTCTGTATCTGTATAGCCGGTATAACCGCCTTTCGGCGTAACACACCAGCTTCTGTATCTGTATAGCCGGTATAACCGACCCTTCGGTGTAACACACCAGCTTCGCAGGCACGCGGTGCGGCGGCAGCTGGCTACATTACACCGATCGACTTGTTACACCTAACCCTTGAACATCTAACTCTAGACATTGTTTAAAGCTATCTAATGACAATGTACCTGGTGACATATCAAACTACTATCATCAATTTCTACGAATATCAGCGGCAAGCCCTAGATGTAATATCACTGTACAACGATACATCATGACATGATTATGTAACGTAACCGGTGTCTGTCACGAGAGACCGTATAATTTTTTTCTCAACTTCATCAAGTTTGTTGGGAACAACATACAAAGCTGAAACTTCCCACACGAGTAAAGGAAACCTTTATTATTATAATTCTTACTTTAGACTCAACATTTCTTAAGTCTGACGACTTTTTAGCAGTGCTGTGAACGTCAGTTTGTGGTGTGAGGTAAAACTAAACGACACCATGGGGGGGGGGGCGTTGGCGAGCAAAAAATCGATATAGTCCAAGTGTCAATTTTTAAATCAACGAACGTCCTACAAGCCAAATTTCGGTGCCATACCTTTCTAGGACCTGTGCGGTAGGATATGTGTGTCTATCACCCCATGTGGAACCACGGTTGGGAGAAAATTCGCCAAAACCGACCACTTCCGCGTTCACGTTTCGCCAGAATCCGCCATCTTGGAATCACGCCGACGTCACATGACTGCGGGTAGTTTACCCGCCATGCACCGCGGCCCGGGAACTATGTCAACTAACTTTGGTACCGTGTTGTACAGACATGACCTAGTGACTTGGTTTCAAGGCTCTTGGAGTCAATTTGTGCGAAGAAGGACGTCAAAGAAATCCATTCAAATCTTTTATAATATAAAAATTGTACATGTTACAATGAGCATTCCTGAATTTATTATATAGTTACGAGCATTGTACCACCGGAACCCCTTCGTCACTTTTTTCCGGGTACTAACGTTACAGTGGAAGAATTGGTGTGTGCACCGTTAACACAAACGAATGACGTCATTTTCTGGAAAAGGGAAGTTACGTTGACTTGACTCGTAAGTTCCTCATCTACGATGAGACTTTTTTAGTATTCACAACGCAGTAAATGCGTTACGCATAAACCAGCGACCGTCCAAGTCCAAGAACTCCCGAGTTTGTTTCCCAACGTCTCCCGGAGGTTCCGTCAGCAGACAGGAGACAGCTGAGGAAGTTTGTCTTGGAGAAGCAGGCTGACGCTGGTTACGTCTTAAGGAACCCGTCTTACCGTGACGTCACACAGGTGAGTGTCAAACCTGCTTCACTACAGGTGAGAAATGTTCTTAAGGTGCCACTTCAGTCAGGCCGCCATTTTAGGTCAACGACTTGAACATATTTTTGTTACATCTTGTTAAATTGTCAAATTTAGGGGCATTACAAGAAGTTGTTCCCTTTTAAAAGTTGTCATACAAAATCCGTCAATGACTTCTGAGTTACACGCTTTGTGAAGGGTATAGGTGGAAGGGGGGTACTGGAAAATACTTTTGTTACACCTTCAGACTTCTACTATATTGTGAAAGTGCTTGTGACGGATACGCCATTTTGTATCAAGGGAGGTTTCAAGAAGTTGTTCTCTCCTATGTGGAAGGTACATGTACATACAGGGTGCTGGTGAATATGACACATTACCTCATGAATGGCTTCTGATGATGACGGGTAAAGGGGGATATGTGTAAGGTGGTTTTAAACTTTAATTTCACGTACGCAAAGTATGCACTTTGAATATTCTATATAAGAGGAAAAATATCAATATGTTGACGTTATTTGAGCCAAGGAATTATCGGACTTGATCAGTGATACTTCTCCTCCGCACGTCCGCGTGACTGGTTAATTATTGGCGGGTGAAACAAACAGGCCGACATTCGGGAACTGACATTCGAGGTGAACTCTGACCACCAGTGTTAATTTGCGCGGGAGATATGAGGACAAAGTCTGCGGTTCAAAACATTTACCTGGTGCGCTACTTATATGCCGTATCTACGTCGTTGAAGTTCAAACTTCTATGGTATAAAATACTAATACGCCAAAAAAGATGAACTGAGTATGATTTTGGAAACCGTCAGACGTTTTCTGTAGTATCCACTACCTAATATAAAACGTCTGTTTCCAAAATCATATCCAGTTGCTTGCAATATGAGTAACTGTTTGTTTGTGGTACTTATATGCCGTTTCAAAACTTAATATTGACACTTTCCTTTCATCACAGGATGGCAGGCCAAGAGCATGGGTGTAAAGGAACGACGGACGAAGGATCGCTCCAGCAGTACAGGGGAGAGAACGTGCCTGGAGGCTGCTGGTCACAGGAGTTCAAGGGAGAGAAGCGGCCGGGAGGCTGGCCGGCGGTGGTCGAGAAGGCAGATGCAGCTACACAGTCGCGCCTAGCGGAAACTGATGGTACTACAGAGAGTCCTGAAAATGTTGGTGACAAGGTTGGAGAAGAATCGCCGGTAACGGCAGAACGGAGGAAAGGCAGTGGGGACGAGGGAAGAGACAAAGATGTCGGTACAGAAACAACTGCACAAGAGCGCCTCCAAGCGGAAGTTGAGGAAGCGGCGGCATCTTGCACTACTGCGGAGGTGGAACAGAGTAAGGTAACTTTTGGCGGATATGGATCAGAACCTGGTGAATTTCATTTACCACACGGCGTTGTGGTGTCGCCTAGCAACGAGATATTCGTGGCTGATACAGACAACAGGCGAATCCAAGTCCACAGCATGAAGGGGGGTTACCTCCGCCACTTCCTAACAGTCGTACCGGGTACAGAGGACGAGTACATGAGCCCACATGATGTTTGTGTGGACTCTAACGGCACACTGTGGGTAGTGGGGAGTGGATGCAGCCCATGGGACGATGATCATGTTGTACAGTACAGCACGGTCGGGACCGCCATGGCGGGTTTTCACCTTTCAAGGTACAATCTTTATCGCGGGATTGCGGTGGACATGCGCAATACTAGTAACCTCATCCTGGTGACCGCTGAAGACCATAATAAAGTTGAGGTGTTCCGTCCGGACGGCTCTCTGGTGCGGAGGTTCGGCAATCCATTTAGTGCCATGACACGCATGCGCATACGCCCAGAGCACATCACTGTGGACGGAGAAGGGAACATTATTGTGTCGTACTGGAATACTGGCTATGTCTATGTGTTTGGCGAGTCCGGGAGGTTTGTGTTCAGGTTTCGAGGTCCGGAAAGTGGCGAAGATCCGCGGGCATGGCCAGAGGGTGCCCGTGGCATCTGTACGGACAGCTCGGGTCACATCCTCGTGGCGCACCCTTTGAACCAGAGGGTTCAGATATTCACACGTCACGGCGAGTATCTCCGCTCCATCCGCACTGGGTCTGCGCCAGACGGCCTGGCTGTGGGCCCGGAAGGGCAGCTGGTTGTGACCAATGCATATGACCACGCTGTGACTGTATTTTCCAGCTACTAATATACATGACAATGATGACACATTATAACGCACTAGTTGAACCTGTTACAGAAGGCCCTACACTATGTCTGTATAGGATTTCACATTAGTTACACATATTATGTATAAGCTGTGATTTTGTATATCTGTGTTACAGACTATAATGTATCAGCGGTGATTTTGTATATCTGTGTTACAGACTCCACACTATGTCTTTATAGGATTGCACATTAGTTACACATTTATGTATCAGCTGTGATTTTGTATATCTGTGTTACAGAATCTACACTATGTCTATATAGGATTGCACATTAGTTACACATATTATGTATCAGCGGTGATTTTGTATATCTGTGTTACAGACTCTACATTATGTCTATATAGGATTGCACATTAGTTACACATTTATGTATCAGCGGTGATTTTGTATATCTGTGTTACAGACTCTACACTATGTCTATATAGGATTGCACATTAGTTACACATATTATGTATCAGCGGTGATTTTGTATATCTGTGTTACAGACTCTACATTATGTCTATATAGGATTGCACATTTGCAATCCTATATAGACATAGTGTAGAGCCTGTTACACAATATCACGGCTGGTACATAACTGTGTAACTTGAGTGCAATTCTATAAAGACATAGTGTAGAGTCTCTAACAGGACTGGACTGTATACAGACATAGTGTAGAGTTTGTAACACAGATATACAAAATCGCTACTGATACATAATATGTGTAACTACTGTGCAATCCTATGAAGACATAGTGTAGAGTCTGTAACAAAGATATACAAAATCACCGCTGATACATAAATGTGTAACACATTAGTAACACATTATGTATCAGCGGTAATTGTGTATATCTGTAAGATTTGTAAGATAGATCTGTAAGCAGCAAATAAACTTGTGTTTTTTGCATCAAACGGTCCTGGTTTTCCTGTGGTCTTACTTAGTACCAAAATGTACTCGATCTCCTATGTAACGCGCTATAAAAGTGCCCAATGGAAAATATTGAACAGGCATCAAATATGTCAGTAAAACGTCTAGCGGTAAAAAGTGGAACTGCAGACTGTACTGTACTCTATAGAAATAAACAATGCAACTCTATTTACGCAGTCGGGACATATAAATGATCCTGCCATATACACAAGCCAAATATGTGATCCTGCCATATACATTATCTTGCCAAATACATGATCCAACCATATATATTATTCAGCCATACACATGATCCAGTCATATATGATCCTGTTATATACATGATCCTGCCAAACACATGACCCCGACCCTACAAATCGTGATGTGGGAGACTTAACCTAACCCGACCCTAAAATCGTACTCATGAAAAGTGGTCTGTAGGCCGATTTGAGTAATTTCTTTTATAAACAAACGAACTTTTTTAGGCTCAAACAAAATCTTGGATATCTTCATATCATTCATTCATTCATTCATTCATTCATTCATTCATTCATTCATTCATCCATCCATCCATTCATTCATTCATCCATTCATTCATTCATTCATTCATTCATTCATTCATTCATTCTTTCATAATAATTCTAAAGCAATTGTTATAAGCAACTCGGCACTTAGACAGAACACCTGAGCTAACAGAGCTCCATAACTCTCCTTCTAGCACTCGGAACATTTCTTGACCAAACAAGCAAACTCAATGGGTGAAATTACAGCGTGCAAAATACCTGGTTGCCTTGGGGCAACCTATTTTTGAACCTAGGTAGCCCAGTGTGCTAACTGAAGTTTAAGTTATGTATCCGGCAGATGCTTTTTAATTTTAGGTATTAATGGCTATTACTAGTATCAGTTAACTAAAGGTTGTTAGAAATATTGTCAAAGGCTTATGGATGTAACATTACTTCATTTGAGGAAAGAAGTAACTTATATACATGTAGGTGGGGCAACCTAAAATTCTGATGGGCAACCTAATTTTTGCCGTAGGTTGCCCACTGGGTAACCTGGTTCAAGAAAGCATTTTGTACACTGAATTAATAAAATGACAAAGAGACAAACAGATTGCGAACAATATTTTATTCCCTGAATGAAGTAATGATTCATGGTTCATCACATTGGTGATTCGACCGTCTTTCACTGCGTTTCGTCTACCGTTTGGCAATTGTATATGGTCTAATCCTTTTCAAAGTAAACTAGAATTCCGAGATCTCATACCTCCATGAAATATGATCTTGATATGTAAATGTAAATTTCTTCTTTAATTGTTCAAATGACCTCTGCATTAACATGATATATGCATCGTGATGTATGTTAACTTTTGATTAACTTACAGATGTCCCAAGTATGACATTCTCATCATTCACCATTACGAAATCATAGAATTTTCACATTAATTATGAAAATTAGGTCATCATTTGCATAATTAGTATCTGTTGAAGTTCCGCCTGCAATAGGTTACATAGTATAATGTAAAACACTGTAATTATAGAATTTCCTCATTAATTATGCAACTAAAGTCCTCATTTGCATAATTTACATTTAATTATGTACATCTCTCTCTCAGCTACCTACACACCAAAAATAATGAAAATATGTTGCTCCTGTCTGGACTTATTGGCTTTTAAACATTTCGCCAGAAAGTGCCCTGCAGTTCTAGAACAAGCCGCTAGGGGGCCCAAACTCATATGACTTCTTTCCAAGCACGAGAGCTACCTTCCATCAAAATTTCATGACCCTAGCATGTCCAGATCACGAGATAATGTAAAACACTGTAATTATAGAATTTCCTCATTAATTAATGCAAATAAAGTCCTCATTTGCATAATTTGCATTTAATTATGTACATCTCTCTCTCAGCTACCTACACACCAAAAATAATGAAAATATGTTGTTCCTGTCTGGACTTATTGGCTTTTAAACATTTCGCCAGAAAGTGCCCTGCAGTTCCAGAACAAGCCGCTAGGGGGCCCAAACTCATATGACTTCTTCTCAAGCACGAGAGCTACCTTCCATCAAAATTTCATGACCCTAGCATGTCCAGATCGCGAGATATCAAAACCGGAAGTTGCGCTGCAGTACCAAGGGAAGCCACTAGGGAGACCAAAATCTCATCATTTCCAGTTTTCGTCACACCCTACCAACACACCAAGTATGAAACCAATCCATCCAGGCGTTCTTGAGTTATCTTGTTGACCAACAGACAGACGGACAGACGGACAGACGGACAGATAAACGCAACTGAAAATATAACCTCCATGACACATTTCATGGAGGTAATTAAAAATGATATCTATAGAAGGTACAAGAAGCTTAGGTACAATAAAATATAAACAGCAAACAGTACAATGAACCGAAAGTCCGAAAAAAATTGACAGACACAACTGAGGTGATTCCCTGAGTTACTTCAGAATCTGTGGATGGTGCTGACTTTTATATTTGTACTGACCGACATGAGAATAGCATAGTAAAATATCATACTATGGGATCTGGAATCCCCCGTATCTCTACCCTCATAGACCCGCCGTTTCCCTGCGCCTCTGTGACGGTTTACTGGTGATGGTGAAACAGTAGATGTCGAGATGGGCGCAGATTTCCGCACAAACCCGAACACAGTACAGCAACAGGTCCAGCGTCACGAACATCTGTAGAAGTGATAAAAGTGGTATTAAATTATGATAAACTAGTAAACCAGTATCAGAATTGTAATTAATTATTGACATAGTTCTGAAAGTTGTTTTTTTAATGTGGTACTAGTACGTTAAAATGTCAATTTTGTAGACTTTCTAGAAGATAACTTTTTGCGCGTGCGTGCGTGCGTGTGTCCGTCCGCTTGTGTGTGTGTATATATGTGTGTGTGTGCATGTGTGTGCGTGCGTGCGTGCGTGCGTGTGTGTGTGTCTGTGTGTGTGCGTGTGTGTGTATTTTTGTGCTGCATGCATATGTGTAGAAGCTGCATGTACTTCATAGTCACAAACACAGTTTCGGAACAAGACTTGAATAGTATCGATCGCCTAGCATTTTTAAAACTTCCTGAAATCGGTAACATGATACCAATGATAAAGTTTCCTCCTACATGCACATTAACTCACCAAACATATCCAGAGCACGATGTGCAGGTTGAAGAAGCCACCGCAGCAGTGACTCAGGAACAACACCCCCGGACCCAACATGGACGAGTCCAACGCGGCCATCTCACTTTTGGTGATGTGTGCCACCTGATCAGATGGAAGTAAGCATTAGTGACAGTTACAAACAGTTGGATTTTATCTTATCTGATCGCCCAAACTTATATTTTTCTCTAGATTTTAGAAGAATAATAGCTTCCTTGTCATGAAATTCATTGTACACATGTATAATGCAAACTGACAACAGTTTTCCTATCATATCAGGTAAGGCCTACGACGTTTTTTTTTAATAATTGTTTTATCAGTGTGAATTACATCTAATTAGTGAAGCGATGCATATCGTACATTAGAAGCAATGCAAAATCTAGTTGTCTGTATTTCATGATAAAGCTAAGTCTCTGTTATTTCAGGGGGGGGAAAGAAGAGCATCTATTTCTACTATATCAAGCAATAAACTAATAATAATAGAAACGCAGTGCTGGTGAGAAAATACAAATGAAAGCATTGTAGACAAGGCAACATCGGTGGGTTTAACCAAGGAGCTTAGGTTCCCTCGTAAAATTTACGATGAGTTTCCGTGACTATTATCATCAGGTTGGTAAGACACCGAGACACTGAGTTTGGGAATGCATCTACAGCAGCGACACCTGTGCTGCAGTGCAATGTGAACCAATCAGAATTACCCTGAGGAAGGTGACAGACGGTCACCGAAACGTCGGCTGAATAAAAGACTTTGTGTAAAAGGAGTCTCTTTACTTACGATGAGTTTGTTAGTAACCTTGGCGATGGCGAGCCCGAACATGAGCAGGAAGAGACAGGGGTGGTTCAGGAACAGGTGTGTGGAGTCGGTGATGTAGATTATACAGGCCAGAACTGTGGGGAACAGGATCGCAACGCCTGGAGATAGTACACTTCTGCTGGTCTGTGAGGGTAAAACATCATCCACGAGTTATAATTTTCGAATGAAAGCTAGCTCCTCTGTGTTGGTAGAATCCATTTATTTATTTTATCTTATCATCTTATCATCAATCCATAGTGTAAAGTTGACGAGATCGACCGAAAACTTATGGTGAGTTCCCTTCTTGTGTTGGAACATTTTAAGCTTGAACTTTACAACTATAACGTTACATACGTTTAATATTTTGTTTTTTTTTTTTGCAAAAGCACTAAGCTGCCTTTATTTTAGTTCTGTACACTACATGATCGTATTTCCCAGCTTCGTAAGGTCATAACCGTAAAAAACTCGTTTGCTGGAAATTCAAAATTTATTACAATTTTTCTTTGGCTTAAGTCAAGTAAGTTTGAATGTACTTATTCTAGAATATGGTAGCAACTCAATAGAGCACCAGCTATTATTCCGATGTAGATATGAGAACCGTTTGAATTATAACTTAAAAACCCGCGACACCTTTTCGTTACTTTTCTGGTTAGCGCCCTGCAATGTGGCAGATTCAGCATTTGGCGCCGTCGCGTTAACACTGCCGTTGGTGCCAACCTTTTCTGCGAGCTTACATTTATAATTGCAAAAGCGACGCCGATCTCTATACCACCCATCAAAAGTTGTTTTCTGGAAATTCATATCTTATTCTTTGGTTCAGCCGTGGTACATTTGAGTCTGATGTGCTACATGCAGTTAGCCTCCACCAGGCCTTTCTACGGGAATACGGACCGTAGAATTCGGCAAAAAGGAGAGTAAAATTGGTCAGGGGAGTCCGGCCTCGGGAGGTAGTTTCTTTAACTGCGCGGCCAATCAAAGCTACAAGGCGGCCTGGCAAACCCGTACTTAGTCTGGTAGAGACTACCATGCAGTACCTCTTCCAGTAAATCAATGTAGATTGGAAAACAGTTTTAAGTCAAAACGCCGCCACCTGTTCATTAGTCTGGTTGCCCCCCTGCGGCGTGGGATTGTCAGTGTTTAGACCTGTCGTGTTGGTGCCAACCTTTTCTGTCAGGACAGTCCTGAAGTTGCCGCCGACTTTCCACGCCGACAGGAACACAATGGTGAAAAACGTGGCGAGTACAACAGACCGGGGGAACTGGTGAAGACGAAAGAAATACAAGATTCGAAGTCAACGATTTTACAACTGAGAGAATTAGGCATAATCTGTGCACAATTTAGCGCCACCCAAAAGAATACTTTAGTCCCAGAAGTAGAATGTATTGTCGCGGCAGTGCGACCCATTTTAGTGAACTGAAGATTTAAAGACATACCCACAAGAACATGAATAGCCTCAACAATTAGCCCCTGACACATTTGCAAGACTATCGAAGTATATCACATGCAGGATGATGTAAACGCGGTACCATTGAATAATCAGGTATGTATGAAATCAGTATGTGTGTCTTCATACACAACTGTAAGATTAGTTTTCATCTAAGTGTGCTCGTTGGATTTCCGACCTGTTATTTTGAAAAAGGCCTAGAACAAAGGTCTGTTTAAAAAATTTAATGACTCCAAGTAATACTAGTAGCCCTACCTTGTACCAGAAGGAAGGCCCGAGCAGTGCGGTGAGAGTCTGCACTATGATGGAGAAACACTGCGCTTCAACTACATCGATGCTGCGAGGAAAAACGAAAACAAATCAAATGTCTGCCACAATCCAAAAGCAAGTAATTGGAGATTACAGGCCTCTGTGCATTAAGCATGGGGTCCTTTGCGTTCTGAATTTCACAATGTGACCATAATTGCTGCATGCTCCGGATTAAGATTCCAAGTCTTTTGGCCAAGTCTTTTCCAGCCATTCTACCTGTGAATCCCCCCTCCACAAACACCTATCAACTTTAAATCTGTCAGGAAAACTATACACAAACCCACAGGCACTCAGAACAAAACTCCCGTGTCATCTCATCTATTTATTCTATTAATTAGACCGTTGGGGCACCAATGATGATCTGACAACCAGTTTTCTCGGTTTCTGTTTCTTTTCACTTAATGCCATGCTGGTCTATTCTCTGATGCTAAAAAAAGTCTATCCTCCCATCAGCCGATATGCTGCCCACCTGGCCTCCACCAGGCCTTCTACAGGAATACGGATCGTAGCATTTGGCAAAAAAGAGAGTAAAATTGGCCAGGGGAGTCAGTCCAAGGACCGTTGGTTCTTTCCCTAGCTCCAGTCAGACCCCAAGGTGGCCAAACTCCCCTGGCAAATATTCTCCTATAAACATGTATTAGACAATTCAAACTCTACTACTGAATAAGTAACGGGCACCCCCTTTTTAATTGATTAAAACTACATCAAAAAAGGAAAAGTAGAGAATAGAAACACACTAAGTCACTATAAGATACCTACAGCCCACAGGTCAAGGTCCCTGACACGTAAGTCTCCCAGTGTGTGCAGTAGAACACGACCAGAGTCAGAAACAACATGAAGAACATCAGGTCTGGGGTCTGGCCGATCGTCATCGCACAGGAGGTTGCAACGGCCAACAGGACTGGAACCACAGAAGGCAAGGTTTAACTATAGCTACAGGCTGTCACCTAGAACAGTAAGGGCTCTTTGATAAGTGAGATGACTCCGTGGTCAAAGACACTGGCATTGACTTTGATTGTTTAGAAAATGCTATGTTAGATAATGATCTATGGAGAGAAATCTGTACTTGCTTGGTCCCGGCTGAACAGGCCAGCAATAAATAGATAAATAGATAGTAGCTTGTAGGGGCATTGTCATTAGATAGTTTTAAACAATGTTAAGAGTTAGACGTTCAAGAGTTAGGTATAACAAGTCGTTCGGTGTGATATAGCCAGCTACCGCCGCGCCGCGTGCCTGCGAAGCTAAGGTTGGTTATACCGGCTAGACAGAAACAGATACAGGCTAGAAACTTGACTGTGCGCGCTGATAATGAACATTAATGCAATTATACGCCCCTCGACAATCTTGCAATTTTGGACAATGACCCGTCGCACGATTTTGATGTCGTAGACTTTTCAAGCAGGCTGTGACGGAACCGACAGCCAGAAATTAGAATCTATTAAAGCACACTGATTTTCCTGCAACATGATAGTTGAATGTTTAGAGTTAAAACTTTAGATCCAACACCAAACTTCTCTCACCTAGAAGTCAGTCTACTGTCCGAGGAAGACCAGAGTCACGGGTTGAAAGCTCTAGGTGAGAGAACTTTGGTGTTGGATCTAAAGTTTTAACTCTAGACTTGTAACTACCAGCACAGATGAACTTTCATAAAGATAACTGAACGTTACGGGACAATTGCAGGACTATTCTAAGAATGTTCTAAGTTTGTGATCGTACGTCGATCACACGGCGTATACATGTGGTCGGACTTTTTTCTTACTACTTGTACTACTAACTGCTACTAGCCTGTAGAAACTGCGTCGCTGCCGTGGTCGAACAGTTCCCCCAGCGGCGTGCTGCTGCCTGTCCGGCGGGCCTGCTTCCCGTCCATCCCGTCCAGACACTGGTACAGGAACCAGCCTAAAGCACAGGACATGTACACCCAGGCTGGGGCCTGTAATAACACATACACAGGACATGTACACCCAGGCGGGGGCCTGTATTAACAGATACACAGGGCATGTACACCCAGGCTGATCATGTACACCCAGGCTGGGGCCTGTAATAACACATACACAGGACATGTACACCCAGGCTGGGGCCTGTAATAACAGATACACAGGACATGTACACCAACACTGATCATGTACACCCAGGCTGGGGTCTGTAATAACACATACACAGGACATGTACACCCAGGCTGGGGCCTGTAATAACACACAGGACATGTACACCCACGCTGGGGCCTGTAATAACACATACACAGCACAGGACATGTACACCCAGGCTGTAGCCTGTAATAACACACAGGACATGTACACCCAGGCTGGAGCCTGTAATAACACATACACATAGTACAGGACATGTACACCCAGGCTGGAGCCTGTAATAACACATACACACGACATGTACACCCAGGCTGGAGCCTGTAATAACACATACACAGGACATGTACACCCAGTGGAGCCTGTAATAACACATACACAGGACATGTACACCCAGGCTGATCATGTACACCCAGGCTGGGGCCTGTAACACACACAAACACACACAAACACACACTCACACAAACACACACACACCGTGACACACACACACACACACAGACACGCTCTCTCACACACATTTGGGAATATTGTATTTTTGTTTTGCTCTATCAGCTTTGATTTTTGTCTCCTCACCTCCTCCGTGGCAGTTGGTGAGAAGTAGATGAGAAGTAGTGACGTCACTACGTTGATGAGGAATCCCGCCATAGTGAGGAGGTTGGGGGCGACCCACAGGGGAACTCTCTCCACCAGCCAGGACCATAGGACCTGTAGATTCCACAACATGACGTGGGAATTAACGGAAACGGACGAAGAGTAGATACAAGTAAACCTGGTTAAACCCAGTTGTATCCAGAACCGTGCTTTATGCACATGCACTATGACCATAACCCTGGTCAGTCGAGGTGCGTGCTGCCCAGGACCGTGCCTAGGGCAAATCTACGTTCTTGCTGGGTACACAAAGACTATCTGTAACCGTACCTGATTGTAACCCTAACCCAATAGGGCTTGGTAGGAATAGACAGAATTCTGGATACGAACCCCCCCCCCGTCTTATGAGGGTGTGGGGGTGTTCAAGCACGCTAAAGCGCCAATCACACTTATCGACAAGAGAGTAAATGTGTCTCTGTGCCAGGTAATGGGTGGATTATCGTTCAGACCACTTAGTCCTTTCTAGGCCCCTAGTACTACTGTGCACTATTGGTATGGTTCCCCTTAAGTAGTTTACCAAGCACACTTTATTTTACAAGCAAACAAACAAACAAACGAACGAACGAACGAACAAATGGAAGAACGAACGAACAAGATAAAATCATACAGGGAAAAGTAATCCTCCAACAATCTTATGTTTTTGTTCGTCTCGAAGTGTTTGAGTCGTGCGAGAGCAGTTGTGACCTGAGCGACAGGTTACCGACAGACCCGTCCAACAAGTTTCAGCTGAGGGCTTTGGTGGGAGGGGGGCTTTTAATGGAGCACAAGAAACGCACGTGTGCAGTAGTTTATCCTTGCCTAAGATATGCACGTGCCTTTACACACAAACACAAGACGTTAGCTCCATTCCTGACGTAGCGGAATATGTGAATGATGTGAATGATGTTTTATCGTTACCAAAAGGATGATTAAATGTTTGACACATAGCATTAAACTAAGTAATCGTCCCATGGGGATGTGGGTCGTCAAACAAACTGGGTCATCGATGTTTTGTTGTTGTTTCTGAAGAGTTTTGAGAGTCATTGTTGCTTTCTCAGTAATCTGTCGGTTATAAGCCCGGTCATATAGGTCGTAGGTAGTCCTATACGGTTTTGATGCCGTCGGATTTTCAGGCAAGCTGTGGCAGAACAGCCAACAGTCGAGAAGGGCCAAATGCAGCTTATCCTATGTGATCATAACAAGACAGGTGGATTTTGTACTACTTAACGTATCCCAAAAATGCCTCCAGTTTACGACCGTACGATCAATGTATTTGGTCAGGTCTGTAAAACTGAGTTTTACTTTTTCTTTGTACTGAACTTGTTCCATGTCTGCAAGGTACATTCTTGTGTTTATAAACAAATTTAGCTGCTTATTTGACTGATAGAAACTTAACTCACAGGTGGGGACAAGTGTGGGGTCTTTCACCTGTTTTGAGGTGAGGCCCTCCTCAAACATATGTAAACAAACGTCGTAAAGTACGTCCCATCCGAAAGACTAGAATGAGCTACAACTCCGTGAAAGGGGGTCTAGAACACCGACAACCAGCCCTAGCCTCCATAGCATGCCAAAAACTGGGGGTTTGGGAGTCTTCATGGTCTTTGGGAGCTTTTATGTGCTATTTTCTGATTGCATATAGACAACATTGCCGGCCTGGTAGAATTACCCCCGTTTGTAGAACTGGGCTAATCAGAAAACAGCCGAAGACCACCAAACCCCCAGTTCTATAAGCCTGCTACGGAGGCTAGACCAGTCCGACAGACCGCCGGCACGTACCTGCAGTATTCTCTCGGTCACGGAGAGACCGACCACCGAGTACTTGTGTTCCTCCAGTCGCTTCAGCTGCGACGGGCTCAAAACAGGCGTCATCTCCGAATTAATGCTATTACAACTTAAGATTCTCTCCGTCTGCAGATGGTATGATCGCGAAGCCGTACCGAATGTAGAACGAGGTCAGAGAAAGGCCGCACGGTGGACTGCTCACCTGTACCTGTGTGCCAGTCGCGTGGTACAGTGGCCACAGGGAAATGGTGAGGGCCTCTTGTACTGAGAACACGTGATCGTTATGGGCCTGACTGTTTAAAAAAAACGCTTGGAGACACACGAACATTCACTACATAGATGAGCAGAAGTTACGTCTGCAGATGCTTTGATCAAAGCCCTACCGACTATAGAACGTGGTCAGAGAAAGGCGAGGAGGGCCTCTTGTACTGAAAACACGTGATCGTAAGGGGGCTATAAAAATAATCGCTCGGATACACAAGAACATTCACTACATAGATGAGCAGTAGTGACGCCTGTAGGTGCTTTGGTCGAAGCCGTACCGACTGTAGAACGTGGTCAGATAAAGGCCGAACGGTAGAATGACCAGCGAGGTGGACACTGGGGAATGGTATTAGCCTCTTGTGCTGAAAACACGTGATCGTAATTGGCCTGTTCAAAAACGCCTGGAGACACATTGAAGAACATTCACTACAGTCAGACATAGGGACAACATCAAACATCTGAGGGTATTGCTCTTACTTCTTTTAGACATTGTGAAGGACTTGAAATTTTACAGGGAAAAATTCACGCACGTACAACATATAAGAACCAGTTTTTCAGGTATCTCTGACATAGCAACCTAAATCACCATTCATGTACTAGTTACGGAATAATATGTATATAGGCATTGGCTGTGTCTGATACTGTAATTGCATTTACTTTCGCAGTCACTGTGCTACCTAAGTTAACTATCCAATGAATTGGCAAATGTTCTGTTGTTGATAATCCATGTGTTGAGAAAAATATTCTTCTCAACCATAGCTTTCACAGAACAGGTAGATTGCTCATTCCTTGATAGACTGGAGTTGTGCAGTCAAAAAAATTAGGTAAGTTCAATTTTTTGTGTTGGAAATTACAGTCTAAACTTACTTCATAATTTAATATACTGTCTTATCAGAGTACATAAAAACAACCATGACATAAAGTGTAATGTTTGAAACATAAAATGGTCTTACTTTATTGTACCGTAGAAACTGTTATTTTCATCATGATTTTTTTTACTGACCGTCTGTTTAATGGAATTACACTAATTTTCCTAACAAATAATTAACAAAGCAGCTGACAACACAGAATAATTTATCGATGAAGAAGCATCTTGAATTAGACATATTGTTCCAATAGGAGTTACATCAAACTTCTTGTCATTGTTTCTTGATGTGAAGCAGGGCATTAAATATCTGTAAATAATTTTATCAGGTTGGTGAAGGATTGAACAGTAATATTCACAACCATTTGTTTAAATTGAGCCAACATTTCCATGACGATGACCGGTGCAATGGCCAAGTGGGTAGAGGGCTCGCGCCTTGCATTCGGTAGGTCGTGAGTTCGATCCCCGGCCGAGTCATACCAAATGGTACATTATAACTGCTTTCTCTGCTAAGCACTCATCATTTGAGAGCGTATGGGAGTTAAACACACACCACTATCAGTGGTCTAGCTACCTACTGCAGTGACTGCACTGTGTGGCCCAAGGGCAGATGGGCGCTACCATATGCAACCATAATGGTTGCAGAGAGGACTTAAACTAAATTTCCATGACATCTTCTGCCATGCTATAATGATGGACAAACGTTGGCTCATGTTAAACAAATGCATGGTTGAGAATAAAAGAACTTCAGGGCACAAAATAGTTGATCTCTCTCCATCACATACACCAGGCAACTCTAACCCCAACACACTTCTCAGAAGTTTTTCTTACTTCTTGGCAGCAGAACTTGTCCGTCTATCTAACACCCAAATTCTGTGTAGAGCAATGCATTTAAAGTAGTAACGTTACAGTAACACAAAATAGATTTGGTATTGGATTAATGTTCTGACTAGGCAGGCATTTCAGATAGCATCTGCTACCTTTCATTAGTGACTGAGGCGACACCAATTTGATTTGTTGGTTCTCTGATTTTTAAGAAAAAAGTATGAAGCGACAGGGGAAAAAAAAACAGGTCTGGGCATCCTATTACAGCCCCAAATGCTACAATAGGAGCCATGAAGTCAACACAAAAAGCTGGGTTAATCTTTAAACAATGAATTTTGAACTTTTAATCAAACCACTGCATTGATAGATGGTAAAACTGTAACAAGTAGAAAGAAAAAGATTTTCCTCCACTGTTGGGAACAAAATATGAGCATTTTCTAGTTGATTCAGGACTATTTTTTTTTTGCAATCAGAAAAAAATGAAGAGGCCAAGAGGCAAATCCGAGAACCAACAAATTAAATTGGTGTGGCCTGAGAATGCTATCTGAAATGTCTGATCCTTCAGTGACTTTACTAGTTGTTTCCTTTATTTTGCACTATGTAATGCTCTACCCGAATATCTAACCCTCATGTGCAATAACTATTTGGTGCTAGACTCAACTCAAAGCAAATAAAACTACTGCATAGCAGCATTTGAAGTAAGCATTTTCCTCCAAATACATGTACACTGTACATGACTTGTAACAATAAATGTCTGGTGTATTGCAAGTTAATTAAAGACAAAGCAGCAACTGGAAATATTGCAAAAGTTCACAATCAATGTCCTTAAGCTATATTAACTCATAATCATGGTGGTTTTTATGCACTAATTCCTTACAAATGGAACAGACTTAACCAACAAGCTCCTAATTTGTTCTCTGATACTTCTCAAAGTTACATATGTAGGGCTTTACTTGGTGTACAGAATTAGCATATAAAAACCTTTACCATCAGAAATGAACTGTCATAGTTCATATTTATCTAGTGTTTTTGTCTTTCTGTTGTTCCACTTTGACGTACAAGTACAGAATATATATATATAATATATTTTACACATCACAATCTCAAAACCCTGTCCTGTCTGCTGACAACACATACATGTATAAAACTGTTAAAATTCTCTATGAAATCTACCTCCGACCTCCCTGATCAACTCCTATAATCTCATTACAGCTATATGTCCTGGGCAGCGTGATTGGGCAAAGGGGATGCATCCCGGTCTGTGATTGGTGGATTCAAACGGCTGGACCAATCAGCGGTCCTGTTCCCTGCTGGCCCGGGTCAGGGACCTGGTGCGAGGCCTGCTGTAGACTTTCAGATTTTCGCCACCTCTGGTTGCCTAGACAACAAGCACAACAAAAACAACAACAAATGTTTACTCAAGACGAAGTCTGGAGACAGCCATACACCATTGGCATTGAAGAAACCAAGGATGTTTTGTAGAATATCCTTAAAAGAAACAAAACAGTTGTAGGACAAACTTTCGAGTTCTAGGGTGATGTTAGTAAAAGTAGGTGCTCATTATACATGTATGATACAATGTGTACAATGTAATCCTGATTGATTGTACTATGTATTTTAACTTTCCTCACTTTTTCTCACTCTCCGATTATTTCCTGTCTCTCATTCTCTACACATTGGCTTTGCAATCATTGGTATCAGTGAAAAATCAGGGGCAGGTGGCTTCCTAAGAATTTTTGTGTACTTAATATGTATTATGAAATTCCAATAAGAAATAGTCTGATGTATTCTGTTGTTGCCATGTTGTGACAAAGTGACAATGTTCATTTTGTGGGGACCTGTCACTGAGTCTTGTAGCACTGACTGTTACAATGTAGGGAGACACCAAAACACCAAACACCAAAATTAAAGAGATAAAAAGAAGAAAAAAAGCTTATTCTAGTTCATTTAATGGACAAATTACAGGCCTTCTGACAAAGAAAAAATCCGTTCAATCCATCTTAATGCTTCAATCCTCCCTATATATGGGAGTGGGACTACTACAGAATGAAAAGAAAATGGAGCAAATAAATTTTATGAAAATAATGACAAGAAATGTGCATCAAACTCTAAAATAAACATTTACATTTAATCAATGGCAATATTCAATTCATTTGCATTATCATTTAGCACAAATGATACAAGCAGCAAGCCAAATATGCTATCAATATTCAGCATCTTTGATGACTCAATACTGCAGCAGCTACAGTTTCAAGAATTTCTTTAAAACTAATAACTGAGTAAAGATTACAGGCAGTAAATTTTTATATTATAGTGCATTTTATAAATGTGCATAATTAGCTTTGCATAGACTTGAAGCCATGCTTTAAGCTGTAATAAGACATAGAAATTATGGGTTATGATTTTTAAAAAATTCATGCAGTGCGGGCTAGAGCGGTCAGCATGCAGCACCTGTCAATCAGCACCAGCACCCGGCAACAGTTGCCATGGCAACAGTTACTGTGGCAGCAATTACCATCATGGCAACAGTAACCATGGCAATGGTTACTGTGGAAATGGTTACCATGGCAAGTTACCATGGCAATGGTCACCTTGATGACAGTTACCATGGTGACTGTTACCATGATGGCGACAGTTTCCACAGCAACAGTTACCATGGTGATGGATACCGTGATGACGGCTATGATTCGGAAATGGTTTGGACATACCCAGGACCAAGGCTACGGAACATGCTGTAGTCATTGGGCCTTTTTGTCTTCGTGAGTCGCTGAGTTTTGGGAGTTTTGCACGCTGGTCCCGTTCTACAGAACACCGTGGTGATGGGCGCAGTTTAATGAATTATGAATGTATGAAGTCACACAATGTAGTTAGACATGTTACCACTACTGTTAGGGAGTTTTTTTATGACCATGTAGTTCAGGCCACACCAATGTGATTGGTTGTTTTCTACACAAGCCTGCTTGAAACAGATTTGTAAGAAGGAAAATTAAAATATGCATGCACATAACATTGCAAATGTACAACATCATGTGGAGTCTTTAAGAAAAGAAATAAATTTTCAGCAGTGTATCAGGAATGCAATCACCTCTATCAACCAAATTAAACATTGTGTGCAAATGAACGCTTAACTTGTTCCTTAAACCTTCTACAGTTTTACTTTTTATCCGCCTCCTATTCTAAATTATTTGTCTGATTGACATCCAACAGACAATCCAATCATACTGGTGTGACCTTAACCCCTGTGCCACCGAGGGAAGTTTGGTCACAAACCTCTGGGTATATAATTTACTGAGAACTGGGATTGCAGTGGGCCAGGACGGAAACAGCTTTGTCTGTAAAACCCCCTGGACGTTAGTTAGTTGGAACGAAATTTACTCAGGATGCTTAAAAACAGTCTTTGCTTATAATAAATGATTAAAAAATATTATGAAATGATGAAATATGATTTTCAAATGGTTTTAAAATGTTTTAACATTCCTGTGTGTTTTGATTCAAGTTCTTTTAAACATTAAAGAAAAAAAACCCTTTCAAGTACACAATCTGAAAAGGAGCAATTTTTAAGTTTTATGTTTAGCAAAATTTACATTAATTTTGTAATGTATTGACCTTGGCCCATATACATGTAGGTGAGAATTGTGTGAGTAAGAGAATTGTGACCTGCAAATTCTGTTCAAACATTAGCAGAAAATCTAATATCTACACTACAATCATGTGTTTTTCTAAAAAAAATAACTAAATAGTATTACTGTACAATAATAGTGTTCAACAGGATTTAGCATTCAAATCTCATAAATCTGCCATATTAAGTCCACAATATTAAACAAAATAATAGTGAATTTATACAGATTCTACAAAGTATGCACACAGATATTCAAGACATTCTTGGGGAGGCTGCAGTAACATTAATGTGTATCATTGGCAGTTTTAGGCAACCTGGTAGAATTATAAGAGTTGACTTAGTTTCAACTTAGTAAGTTTCAGATTTAGAAAATGTCACGTGAATGTAATATTTCAATCAAAGTGCTATTCCCTCTACAGAATCTGATACCAACGAAGAAGAACAAATCTCAATAATCTTGAAATGAACGTCATTTTTTTAATAAAACTGAACCCTTTACACATTCATCATTCATAGCATGGTTTTCACAATGAATTTAGAAATTCATTTGCACCAACTTACATGGAGGTAAATACTTGAACTTAGTGGCTTTTGTAACTGGGCGGTCTCCTTTAGTCATGATAGGATGCATAAATATATTAACTGTAGAAATGAAAAAGGGTGAAAAATAACTGAAGGAAACTCTACACGATGAAATGTAACAATGGAGGCCCTCAGGAATTAGAAATGAACCAAATCAAATGAAACTAGAACGAGAAGTGAGAGAATCTACACAGTCAGTTCTAGCTGCACTTTACAAAAAGCTATGAATCTGAATCTGAAATTACATTGATCAAAGTTAGACATCCAGGTAATAAGATACGCCAAAAAGCAGTTACTCAAGCAACTGGATACTGATTTTGGAAACGGTCAGACATTTCAGGTTATAAGCACAATGAACAGTTCGTGTTTGTAAACCTGCATTTCTCCTCTGGTCTCTTAGTGTCACTGACAATTGGTAGTGGATGCTACTTGAAACATCTGACCGTTTCCAAAATCATATCCAGTTGCTTGAGTAACTGATATTTGGCGTCATCACACACTTACCTTGCTCATATTTCCGCTGTTCATCCCCTTTTTTGAGGGTTTACTGGTGATGTTGAAACAGTAAATGTCCAGATGGTCACAGATCTGGAGACACACCAGGAAACAGTACTGCACCAGGTCAAAGGTCACGAATATCTGCAGGAGAGGTCAGAGGTCAAAGGTTACAAGCTGCAGGAAGAGGTCACAGAGATTAACATTCCTGCAAAGTGGCACGTTCTGAACTATTGACCTTCAGAAATGACAAGCTGACTTTTCTGGACAAAATGTATGTTTGATGCACCCTCAAGAGGAAGGTGAAAGGTCAGAGTTCAGAAAATATGGGGGACCAAAATGTACTCAAAAGAATGAGGGAAAACTTGAGGGAAAACATTTTCCTTTCCTAGAGAATGATGTACATGTAACCACTTATCTTCTGACCAAACTTTTCAAAAGGATGTACAATGTATTCCTTAAGTTCTCTGTCACTACAGTATGGAAATGCAGCCTCCAACAGTACTGTACTGCACAGTAAATGTATTGTAAAAGACAGTCATTATCTAGCTACTTACCAAACTTATCCAGAGGACGATGTACTCATTGATGAAGCTGTTGAAGTACTGGTCCAGGAACAGCAGTCCCGGCCCGATCATGGACGAGTCAAACATCGTCATCTCACTTTTTGTCATATGTGCAACCTGAGGGACAGGGGGAAGAAAAACAACTTTTATCAGCTGTGATCACATTTAACTTTGCCTACTCAAGGATCTGCATGTATAAAAGGATCATTCTGTATATCTGCACAACACAACAACTGTGGTAAAAAACAGTTGTTATTTTGAGTAACTGATTTTTGGGGTACACTGTTGTTATCTATTAACCAAACTTATCGTCATCTCAATTTTTGTCATATGTGCAACCTTGAGTGACAGAAAGAAACAACTTTTCTCAGCTGTGATAACAAGGCTACAACAAGCTGTACGCCAAATGCCAAGTACCAACTCTACAGAAGGAAGTTCATTGCTGTAGATGGTCCCTCTTCGGTCATGTAGTCTGTATGCCGCTGGACTCACCCACACAAAGATCCTCAGTGTCGCGTTCAGCAAAAAACTCAAACCCAGACAAGGAAGACCACGCGAAGGTCTCCTCAGTAGCCTTATCGACGACTGTAAACTGTATCTAAGTCATCTGAAACTCGAGTCTCACGTACTGAAATATCTCAGAGACTAAGCAAGAGACAAACGAACTTTACAGAGACATACACTGATTTGGTCTGTCAAGAAGAGTTTGTCTACTCTAGTCTCTTGCATGGGCAGAGGCAAAAAAAGTTTATTAGAAAGGATAGAACGGACTTACTACAAGTTTGTTGGTGATTTTGCCAATGGCCATGCCGAACATGAGCAGGTATAGGCAGGGGTGGTCCTGGAACAGGTCCATGGATGACTTCTTGTATATCATCAGCGCCAGGACGATAGGAAACAGGATTGGGAACCCGGGCGACAGGACACTCGTACCCTGGAGGGGGAGAGAAAAGATAAAATTTAAGATGAGTTTTCGTGAATTTTTTGTTTAATTCATTATAAGTTATCACAAGTCACAAGTCTATGGATGTTCCCATGCCAACAGCCGACCTCCTACTGGCTCTCTGCCAGCTTCTGGGACCCCATTTCCTGCACCTGACCTTTTCTGGTCAGGTGAGGTAATATGCTGTAATTCAAGTACTTACAGACACAATCAAACACAATTATAATAGTCAAGCTCTTCGCAATTCCAAGGCCCTGGCTGTAAAGTCAATTTGGCCCATAAAATAACAGCAAACACTTCTTTGGCAGCATTTTAAGAAAACTATCCAAATATCTGTATGAAAAGGTAACTTGGGCTTGAACAGTGGCCTTCTCATGCAAAATTGGCCTCTACACCACCACTCTTCTCAGTTCTAGTGTGGGTTGCATCCTATTTGAATGTATACAGGTGGCTTCCATACTCACTCCCGGCAACAAGCGAGTCCCACAAACACATTGTACTATTAGATGAAACCCAGGCTATTGCAATTCAGTCAACCCGATAACCTTATACTTAATCACACTCACCGCTACAGTGGATCCGTTTTTTCCAGCTCCCCCCTTCAGGATAGTCTGAAGTTCCCCCAAACCGTCCACGTATTACATACCTCTCAGTTCTAGCCTGGGTTGCATCCTACATGACTTTTGTAATTGTATACAGGTGACTTCCTAGCCTGGGTGCCATCCTCTGTAGTTTCCCTTAATGTCACTGGAGGGAGCAGGTGGAAACTACAGAGGATGGTACCCAGGCTAGTGGCTTCCATACTCCCAACAAGCGAATCCCAGTGCATGCCAATTTATAGGATGGAACACAGGCTATCGCAAGTCAGCCCCTGGCTGCAAAGGTAGAGAGTTCTCAGTCCACCCGATAACCCAATACTACAGCAGCAGCACACTCATAATAGCTTCAAGCTAGTTGGGCTGCCCTGCTGTGTTCCAGCCGAACCAATAAATAAATTACACTCACCGCTACAGTAGAGGCGTTTTTCCCAGCACCGCCCTTCAGGATGGTCTGGAAATTCCCCCAACCTCTCCACGTATTACATACCTCTCAGTTCTACCCTGGGTTGCATCCTACATTGTACATGTAATTGTTTCCTGACCTGGGTGCCATCCTCTTCAGTTTCCGCCGCCCAGGGACATTAGGGAGTGGACAGAAACTACGGAGGATGGCTCCCAGGCTAGCGGCTTCCATACTCCCAACAAGCGAGTCCCAGTGCATGCCAATAGGATGGAACCCAGGCAAGTCAGCCCCTGGCTGCAAAGGGAGAGAGTACTCAGTCCACCCGATAACCTAATACTACAGCAGCAGCACACTCATATTATATAGCTTCAAGCTAGTTGGGCTGCCCTGGCTGTGTTGTACCAGCCAAACCAATAAATAAATAAATAAATCACACTCACTGCTACTGTGGATCCGTTTTTCCCAGCGCCGCCCTTCAGGATGGTCTGGAAGTTCCCCCAGACCGTCCACGTGGACAGGGACGTGGAACCGATCACTGCGACGACTCGGACTGACAAACCCACCAGGGGTACCTACGGACAGGGGAGGGCAGCGGCATGTTACACTGTTTGTGAATAGTTTCATCACAAACAGTTGGTAAGCAGTGTTCTAGCCAGGATTTTTTCATAGCATAGGGGTCAGGTACAGAAGAGCAACTTTCGTGGTGCAAATCACGCATTGAGCAAAAAAATTTTAAAAGTCATAACCCCCTGAGACACTACAATCATGTATTTCTTGTTTAACGTGGAACAGATTTTGTGAAGTTAAGGTTTTCCCTTTGCTATAGCTTCATTCTAAAGTAACGTATAGTTTCATTTTTTGCAAGATTTATGAAGGTTCTCCCTCCCAGAACACCCCTATGCTGGTTGAAACTTTGCATAGGGGTCAAAATTATAGCATAGGGGGCCCCTATGCTAAAAAGGCCTGGCTAGAACACTGGCAAGTGAAGTGACTCTCCACTATGGGTACCATCAAGTTGCAACAGTTACTACAGTATTGAATCCTACAGAATTACATCCATGTTTAAAGTTAAAACTTTTGGTCCAACACAAAAAATTCCCTCAGTAGACTGACCCAGTGAAGCTTGTCACGTGGCTTCTTTGAAGTGTGACATCCTGAGGAAGACCAGAGTGACTGGTCGAAAGCTCTAGATGAGAGAATTTTTTGTGTTGGACCAAAAGTTTTAACTTTAAACATGATAGTAGAATTACATCCAGATGTGTAAAGTGCATCTACAAATTATTGCACAATCAATAAAAAATGAAAAGTAGTGATACATTAATGAAAAATCTACATCTACATATTTAACACAATCATTACATCTCACAAATAGGAAACATGTGGATATCCTATGCACATTTTTAGCCATTCGATTATTCTCTTTATTGGATGTTGTCAGAAGCAGAGAAGGACGAAGAACCAATTTTTGTGAGAGAAGATTAGACAAAATTGAAAGATTTATTATAATCAGTCGAAAGAACGACAGTAAAAAAGGTGCAAAAAAGAAACAGGTTTGAAAGATGCACTGTTTATATGGGTCTAATTTTCCATTTTTTCCCCTTTTTCTTCATTTTTAGAGCCTGGTTCAATAAGGTTCAACTATGAGGCCAGACATGGGAAAAATCATGCTTCATGCATGAAAATCTAGGTTAAAAAAAGCAGTGGTAAACATTAGCTGAATCTTCTCTTTTTTTGTCATAAACACTCCAAAATTGTGTCTGAAAAAACACACAGTGCACATACATGGTACATACATTTCAATGTACACATAGTTATTCATAATTCTCAAGACACATGACCAGACATGTCACATGCATAACTAACTGTATGTTAAAAATTGGAACACACAAACACACAACAAGCCTGTCCTTGGTGCTGGAAAGTGTTCAGCACCAAGGACAGACTTGTTCTTGTCTGTGTGTCTGTATGTGTGCGTGTGTGTTTGTGTGTGTGTTCGTGTCTCTGTGTTCCAATTTCTAACAGTAATGCATGTGACATGGTAGAAGATGCAGTCAGTCACATACATGCAATATCAAATTGTATCACTGTGACAGTCACTATAACACACACACACACAACAACTCTACCTACACATGCAGCACACACACCTACAGTAGCATGCATCCATGCAGCTAATATAACTACCACCACATATTAAAAAAAAAAAAAACAGAAAAGAAAAACATCTTAAAAAAAACAGAACATCCCAGAGTACCTTGTTGAACCAGACTGAAGTACCAAAAACAGCAGAAACTATATGTATGGCCATGATGAGTATCTGGGCTTCTGTTACATTGATGCTGAGGAGAGGTGGAGGGAAAAAGGTGCAGGTGAGAAAATAGCAGGCGCGAATTCTCGTGCTTCAGTTGTAGGCAGACGGGAGACAAAGTTTGCAATGGCAGTCACCGTGGTCAATTGTGGTTGATTGTAGCCTCCACCAGGCCTTTCTACAGGAATAAGGGTCGTAGGAATTGGCAAGAAAGAGAGTAAAATTGGCCAAAGAAGTCCGGCCGCGGGGAGGTAATTGCTTTCCCTCCGACCAGTCAAACCTACAAGGTGGACAAACTCCCCTGGCAAATATTCTCCTATATATAGCCAGCGTAGTCAGTCTGGTAGAGACTAGGTTGATTGGTTGTAATAAGAAAACTGTCATTCTTGCCATTATGATTTCATCCCTGTAATCATGATTGTGGAAATTTGGAAAGAAGGTTCGTCATGTTTTGATTCCTTTAATTTTGGCTTAATGGTTTTTTGTCTCCCACCTTACTACATGTACATACATAGTTGACTATATTGTCTGTGTGTAGCATACATATAGAGTGTCCTTTGGTTCAGGGTATTGGGAAGGATCATATGTGTTCTTAAAGACCTAAAACCGCAACTAAACATTTAGAAGAAAAATAATCTAAGCAAAATTCTACTTTAGTCTACAGCATTAACTGATAATTTTAAAGCAATTTGTTACATCAACATGATAACAGGCTCCTTGAATTTGTTGAAAAAGTGCAATTCAGGCAACTCTAGGGCCACACAAATTCAATGTGTTGTTTCTCTGATTTGCAAAATTTTTTTCCCCTTGTCTCTTCATACTTTTTCTGAAGAAAATCCTAGAAACAACAAATTAAATTGGTGTGGCCTAGGGGACAAATTAAGTCTTTTTGTGAACAGTATAACTGGTAGAAATATGTCAGTATGTCTTGCACACTTTTCTTCTTCTTCTTCTTGAACACTTTACTAAGTTTAATTTGATTCTCTCACCCCAAACCTGACCAAAGGACACTCCTATGAATGCTACACCCATATTTCTGTTCCTACCTGCATGCCCCAGAACTCTTTGCCCAGGACCATGCTCATTAAGAACAGCATTATCACGCCAAACTGAGTTTCTGTCACATCAAAACTGTGGAGAACAGGGCACAGTGGTTACATCTGATGCATGTATATGCCAAAAAGCAGCTACTCAAGCAACTGGACATGATTTTGAAAATGGTCAGACATTTCAGACTTGCATTTCAGACCTGCATTTCTCCTCTGGTCTTTCAGTCACTGACGAAAGCTATTGGACACTGGCTGAAACGTCTGACCATTTCCAATTGAAAATCATATCCAGTTGCTTGAGTAACTGCGTATCTTGGCATATCTTATTATCTGGATGTCTAGCCTTCACCGATGTACATCTGATATACTTCATAGGAAATCAAACTTGACAATACCTTTTACTCAAGGGATTCATTCGGAATGTGGTCCCAAATGTGAATAAGTTTTTACCCCATCAGCCATATTTGGCTTACAATGTGTACAAAGACCGGTAGAATATTTTATTTTATCTTAGTCACATTGAGTATTTAGAATAGAGCAAAAAGCAAAAACAAAAACATAAATACAAGCCAAATTTGAGGCATGATACATGTAGATGTACATACACTGTACACGTATGTAACTTAGGGGACAAATTTGAAAGATATATTACAATTAACAACTTGAAGCTAAATCTTAAGCCTTATATAACTCTCAATCCAAATTTAAAGCATTACATTATTAACTCGGAAGCCAAATTTGAAGCTTTATACATAACTTACAAGTCAAATTTGAAGCATTTTATAACTTACTAGCCAAACTTGAGCGTCCCTGACACGTATGTCTGCCAGTGTGCGCAGTAGAACACGAAAACTGCGTTGAAGAAAGTGATGAACATCAGATCCGGACTGTCTCCCATAGTCATGGCACAGCATGTAGCCACTCCCACAAACACTGGGGAAGGAAACAGGAGAGAATCAGTGATTCCATAGTCATCGCACAGCACGTAGCTACTCAAACAAACACTGGAGAAAAAAACAGGAGAGAATTATTAATTTATTATTCATCTATCCATCCCAAACCAAGAAAAAACTTAAGGAATGGTAGGCAAGACCATGCAAAGGTAAACATCCTGCAACTGCCTGAAAATGCTGCCTTGATTCTAATTATGTTTACCGAAGGAAAAATTGTTTTTGCTCAATTTCTTCCTCTTTTTCTTCTCCAAACAGTGACCTCTGACCTGGTCAATGACCTAAATCAGACCGTCTCTCACCATGGTAACTGGTGTTGGGTTACATCATGTTGCAATTTTATAGCAGGAGGGATTTAGACTCCTGTCACCATATATGTGAAATGTGTTTGAGAAAGAATTAACAGAGCAGACCATATGTGAAGGTAAACATTACGCATTTGCTTTGCAAAATGTTACTTTTCAAGTTTGTTTGTTTATTTGTTTGTTACCCTCTCACCTGTAGATATGGAGTCGCAGCCGTGGTCGAACAGTTCCCCCAGCGGCGTGCTGCTGCCTGTCCGGCGGGCCTGCTTCCCGTCTATCGCGTCAAGGGACTGGTACAGGAACAACCCCACCGCACACGACATGTACACCCACGCAGGGGCCTGTAATAACACATACACAGGACATGTACACCCAGGCTGATCATGTACACCCAGGCTGGGGCCTGTAATAACAGATACACAGGACATGTACACCCACGCTGATCAATTGTACACCCAGGCTGGGGCCTGTAAAGTATAAATAACACCATTCTAGACCTTCTAGCAGGGTTGTAACAAGCTAAGGTCTAGCAGGGTTGGACAAGTTACAAAATCCACTTGCATATTGGGCAAGTACATGGTCATTTCCACTTGCCCGAACCAAAATATATAATTATCACATTTCTATGCATTTTTACTACCACCAAGAAAATTATCTTATTTTGGAGTATATAATGTTGGATGCTTTATTTATCGAAATAAGGTAGTTTGACTTGCTTCAAACACCGGAGCGGCTATAATTTGCATCCAAAAATACTTTGCACCAAAAAAAATACTTTGCATCCAAAAAATTTACTTGCCGAATCGAGCAAGTCTAGGGATGCATGCACCCCAACAGTACTTTTGCTTGCCCTGGCCAAGTACTAGTTAGGCAATTGGACTTGTCCAACCCTGTCTAGAATGGTAGCTCAGTCAAGTTAATTATAAATTTGTCCTATTGTAGGCAAGCAAAGCCTCAGGGCATTTGAGCCTGCATGTAAACAGTTCTCTGCAGATGTCCTTGGGAGTCCAAGGCTAAAATTTCAGCTCAATCATGACCCCCTAGGTACAGTACATTCATACGTTCACCAGCCTGATGAACATGTAAAGCCCTTGGAATTCAAACTTAGTAATGTTTTCAAGAAGAAGAAAAGTGTTCAAAACATATTGACATATTTCTACCAGTTATACTGTTCACAGCTCATGATAGTAGTAATAGATTGGTGTTGGCTCTTTCCTAGATCACTGCATGTACATTTTGTATGCAGTACACAAATGGCTGCTGTTTCAAGGACCCCTAATCTCACACGAAATACGCCTGATGTTCCATGTAAATAAACAGTTTAGTGCACTTATTAGTCTAGTAAATGTTCAAGTTTTTCTAAAAAGATGTTTTGTGCTGTTTATTTTTTGTATTCACACCACAATCACTCCAATAAATTATCCAATTTACAGAGTACGTGTAGTCAAACGTTCAAAAGCTTTATACAATGGCTTTTGGACAACGTCCAACCGGTCAAAGGTCAACATCCTGTAGGTCGTTCCACACACGCCATGGGGTCATGTGAAAATGACTCACAACAACAGCTTCAGTTCAGGTTTTCAAAAACAACAGCTACAGTCTAACCAGCAGTCTTTTTACCAGGCACCCCACAGTTTACCATATAAATGTTAACCATATTTTGGATCTTTCATACATGTACAAAATGTAACTTGTGCTCAAGCAATTCAATCATGATTCATATATTACATATAGCACTGCAGAAATTGTTATAAGGGATTTACGAAAAGCATTTATACCAGTAATTTTGTATGTATGTGTGTGTGTGTGTGTATGTTTGTGTGTGTGTGTGTGTGTGTGTGTGTGTGTGTGTATGTGTGTGTGTGTCTGTCCATGTATGTTTCTGTCTGTGTGTCTGTCTGTCCATGTGTGTGTCTGTGTGTGTGTGTGTCTGTCTGTCCATGTGTGCCTGTCTATCCGTATGTGCCAGCCTGTATTACCTGTTCCCTGGCTGTAGGTGAGTAGTACATGTGAGCAGTAGTGTGTCTGTCTGTTTTTCTGTCTGTCTGTGTGTGTGTGTGTCTGTCTGTGCGTACCTACATTTGTACATACCTGTTCCCTGGCTGTAGGTGAGTAGTACATGAGCAGTAGTGTGTGTGTGTGTGTGTATACTGTCTGTGTGTATACTGTCTGTGTGTGTGTCTGTCTGTCTGTGTGTGCATGTATTACCTGTTCCCTGGCTGTAGGTGAGTAGTACATGAGCACTTAGTGTGTGTGTCTGTCTGTCCATGTGTCCCTACTGTACATACCTGTTCCCTGGCTGTAGGTGAGTAGTACATGAGCAGACTTAGTGTGTGTGTGTGTGTGTGTGTCTGTCTGTGTGTGTGTGTGTGTGTCTGTGCGTGTGTGTGTCTCTGTGTGTGTGTCTGTCTGTGTGTGCCAGTATTACCTGTTCCCTGGCAGTAGGTGAGTAGTACATGTGAGCAGTAGTGTGTCTGTCTGTTTTTCTGTCCATGTGTGTGTCACACAGTGTGTGTGTGTGTCTGTCTGTGCATACCTACATTTGTACATACCTGTTCCCTGGCTGTAGGTGAGTAGTACATGAGCAGACTTAGTGTGTGTGTGTGTGTGTGTGTCTGTCCGTGTGTGCCAGTATCACCTGTTCCCTGGCTGTAGGTGAGTAGTACATGAGCAGTAGTGTGTGTGTGTGTGTGTGTGTGTCTGTCTGTCAGTGTGTATACTGTCTGTGTGTGTGTCTGTCCGTGTGTGCCTGTATTACCTGTTCCCTGGCTGTAGGTGAGTAGTACATGAGCAGTAGTGTGGTGTGAGTGTGGTGTGTGTCTGTCTGTGTGTGTGTGTGTGTGTCTGTGCGTGTGTGTGTCTGTGTGTGTGTGTCTGTCTGTGTGTGTCTGTATTACCTGTTCCCTGGCTGTAGGTGAGTAGTACATGAGCAGCAGTGATGTCACCACGTTGATGATAAGTCCGACCAGTGTGATCAGGTTCGGCGCCACCCACAGCGGAACTTTCTCCACCAGCCATCGCCAGTACACCTGGAGATACACAATTTATTTTTCTATTTATTTATTTATTCATTTATTGGTTTGGTTGTTGCAAAGTTTAAGTTTACTTCCAACACAAAAGGGGAACTAAGCTTGTTTGTGTTGGAACACTTTCTGCTCCCTGTATAATTTCCTTGGGGGCATATGGGCCCTTGTGTAATTATGCCCTGGGACAGAGGAGCTGGCCTGTGTAGGCCCTGGAAACAGTCTGTCACCCAGGCTAAGATTTCTGACAAGAGACACTCTATGTACAGCAGTCACCAGGCATGTGTAGGCGTAACCAGATACCTTTTACCTTAGCCGGGTCAGTCCAAACCGGTCAAGTCCCCTAAACAGGCCAACAGTTCAAAGTTCGAGGCCCGAAAGAGACGTACTATATGTACAATAGGACGACCTTGGGGGACAAAATTACACTAAAAACTGTTCGTTGAAAGGTTGCTACAAGGCAATAACCCTTCACTTGGTACGCCAGAAGGATAGGCTTGGAAAAATGTCGAAGGTTCGATAAAAGGTGTTACGTAAATCATAATCTTTTTAAACCTTTCAAAATACAATAACATTTCGGGAAATAACTGAACACGTGAAAGGCACTACAACTGGGTGAAATTAGTGTTGTCTTAGAGCTTTGCTGAGTGCTGAAGCACGTAACTTGATATACACAGGCGAACAAAACACGGTCCACACGAAAACATTATCCGTGTGTGTCTGTAAGACAACGATACCAACCGCCCCCCTCCCCCTTCCTCCCGATGTAGCTAATCTCCAAGCAGATCTTAGGCGTCTCAAAAATAGAGTTTCAAATTGGCCAAAAGGCCAGAGAGGGACCATAAGCGACCCAAGGGTGGGGGGGTAGCGACAAAAAAAAAAGGGCCATATAAACGTCACGATCATATTTCCCCCACAACCTCTGCTTGGAGAGTTCGTACCACCAGCGACGTTTACTAGCCTCCATAGCATGCCAAAAACTGGGGGTTTCGTGGATCTTCAGGGTCTTTCATGTGCTATTTTCTGATAGCATATAGACAACACAGCCGGCCTGGTTGAATTAACCTAATCAGAAAACAGCCTAAGACCACCAAACCCCCAGTTCTATAAGCCTGCTACGGAGGCTAGACGTATATACCTGCATCACGGGTTCAACGGCCGAGGTCCCCGCTGCCGAGTATTTGTGCTCGTCCAAACCTTTTAGCTGTGCCTCGGACATCGCCGGCGCCATCTCAAGAAAATACCGACTCATCTCGACCGAGATCTCGCTAAAAATCGCCGGTTTGAAGCCGCTAAACTCGCTCGGATATTGCGGTGTGATTTCTCTGTAAATGACAACCTGGCAGCAAACACTAGATTTACTAAACCGGAAGTAACGCACTGCGCGTGCGCCGGATGGAGGGTCAGCCGAAATGATGCGATTTTTTCGACCAATCAGAAGGCGCGAATTTATTTGCCAAAAAGGCGGACTTTGAGCAGGTGAGCGAAACGCGGTAGGTTTAAACATTTTTTTTAAGAAAGAAAAAAAAAAATCAACGGCTAGCTTTACTTCATTCTAATTGACTGAGTGGAGTAACTTGTTACATTGTATCCGATATAATTTTGCATATTAATTTGTCTTTGTTTGTTTTTTTGTTTATTTGTTTGTTTGTAGGTCTGTGTGTCAAAACACACTCACTTGGATGATGAAACACACACACACACACACTGTGAACACACTGCACTGATAGACTAAGGATGCTATCTTCCTACACTACTGATAGTTTTCGTGTGCTACCGTATGGTGTCAACATACATGTAACGTTAGATGTACTGCAAGTATTCAGCTGATGGAAATATGCCCATAATATCAGTGACATAATATATAAGTGAACCATCCACGCATTCTTAATAATGAATACGCAGCAAACATAATCATCAAATTCCAAGTGTTTTTATTCACCCCAGAAACATCGATCTGCCGAAGTCTGCTGGATGATTCTTGTACCGTCGCGGGAGTTAGTCTTTCTGTCTAATGTCTAGAGTTACCTGTGTTAAACAACATCAAAACTTATAGGATCACATAATTTGCATTCTGAGGTATGTGTTCTGTTACTCAGTATTGAAGACGCTGTTTGGACGAACCCCCCACATGGCTCAAAGGCCCACTTTTTGGTCCTTTTTTTTAATCTAACTTGTTTTTTTTTTTTTTTACTTTAAAAGACGGACTGATTCGTATCACCAGCGGGGCTGAAATCGTAGAAAAACTGCCTAGTTTGTCATTGAATAAAAAGTTATCTCTGTTTTTTTTTGCTTGAAACTCTCTCAAAAACGCAGGAAATACAATTTCAGAAGGTTCATTTTTCAAAATTTTCAGGGGGGGGGGGATGCCCCCGGAGTAGGAACAGTTGGAAGACCCACCCCCCGCCCAAATCCTGGCTACGGGCATGGGATTTAATTCATATCTTCATAAAGCCGAACAAACAACTAAATAAAACCAAATGCATGCGCATGTAAGGTGGCCTGCATGGGGGTCCCGACAACGCTCTACGCTGAATTCGGAAACTTCTCGATTACGCTTTACGATAAATTCCAAGTGGCCACAACGCATTACGTAGAATCAAAACGGCGAATACGCTCTACGCAAAATGCGCCGAGCGGTCCGTCTACGCTCTACGTAGAATTAAAACAGCCGATTACGCTCTACGGAAAAGGGCTTGCGGGCCCCCATGTAACAGTTTAAATACCTCCTGGGCAACGTTCCGGGTTGATGCAGGCTCCATAGTGCTGGACGTAGCCGTCATCACAGACACAGGCGGGCACACAGAGCGCCGCGCATACGCCCTGGATCTCTCCGCATATCTGCGGGCACATCGAGCCACACTCAGACCAGTGGCTGTTAGCAGGGCATGCTGAGGTAAAAACATATAAAAACAAATAAATAAATAAACAAACAAACATCAGAAGCACATGATTCACACACACGGCCCCGCACCCGCCCTGGGTCTCTCTACATGTCTGTGGACACGTCGAAATGCGCTTACACACCCTTACACCAGTGGCTGTTAGCAGGGAATGCTAGGGTAAGAAAACATAACAAACAAACAAGCAAATAAATAAACAAACAAACACCACATATAGACACGTGATTCACACACACGACCGCGCACACGCCATGGGTCACTTCATATACTGTACGGGGCTGTGCCACACCTATAGCGGTGTTTGTGAGCAGTAAACAATGGGGGAGAAAAGACCGCAGAAACAAGCAAACAAGAAAGATAGAAAGAAAGAAAGAAAGAAAGAAAGAACTTTCTCTGACATTCTAACCAACTCAGACCTCCCTTGGGTACAACTGGCCAGATATTGGCTAGGCTTCTTCGTGCGCCGGTTTGACCCGTCAACTTGGTCAAACTGTGCGCCGCACTCCCCAGATCCCCCTCCACACTACTCTTCCCTGAGGAGGCTCGTGACCAACATGGTTGACCCTTCTTCACCCAGTCACTGGGACACGGGCTGTACTGTTCGCTCTTTGTACAGTAGTCAGCTTAGGAATCGAGCTCACTCCCCAAGTGTCTGTTCTCGTCACCCCAACATCTGCTGGCCTGACGTCTTCATGGCTGTTCACCACCCTTTCCTAGAAAATCGTCTGAAAGACATTTCATGGAAAGTGGCACACGGGGCGTTGAAGACTAATGGCCTGGTTGGTGGCACGTGGCGGTACAGAGGTTCTTCTAACTGTCCCAGACAACACTGCCGGCAAGTAGAGTCTGTAGACCATGCGATGTTTTACTGCAGTACAGTAATGCAGACATGGACTTGGGTGGAGGGATTTGCGAGAAGATGGGTTCAGCCAGACTTTCGGCTGAACAGGCCGATGGCGCTTCTCAACATTTTCCCACCTGACCTGGGAAGATGCAGGAAAAATGTGCTGATCTACATCTTTGCCGTAGTGAAACATAAGATCTGGGCGTCTAGGTGCAAGGCAGTGTTTGAGCAGTCGCATTCCTCACACACGGAATTGATTACATCCATTAAGGAGTCATTGAGGTCAAAGTTGCGTACGGAGTTTGTCCGCCTCGGGGCTTCAAACCTCGTGGTGCGACTCCGTACGCTGGGCAAAGACCGAGGGTGACAGGCTGCGTCTGCGTTTTTAGTGTTCTGTCCTGTAGAAAATTGGAAACCCAAAACTACGCCTGCGGTTGTAACCCCCCGTTCCCTACTACTCGTATTAGTCTTTTGTGTGAAATGTCTGTCTTTTATGTCATTATTTTATTTTGATGTGCCAAGTTGGCAGGAGTGGGTTGGTGGGAGCACTTGGACAGTAACCTGTCGTGGGTAGCTTGGCACATCCTTTTTCTATTCCCCTTCCTTTGTCTATGTCTCTGTCACGTCGAAAAGTTAAAAAAAAAAAAGAAAGAAAGAAAGAAAGAAAGAAAGAAAGAAAGAAAGAAAGAAAGAAAGAAAGAAAGAAAGAAAGAAAGAAGCAAATAAACTCCATCCCTGGCCTGAGTCAGTGGCGTTTATGTAAAAAGGTCGAGCGTCGCAGACAGAAAGACCGTTTTGACCAAAGTAATAGCAAAGAAACAAACAAACAAGCAAAACATTATTTGTGCACAGTAACAAGCAAACAAACCAAACATGATCTGCTCACCGGGACAGTCGTTCTTGTGGATACATTCGCCGTTGTGCAGCACGTACCCGGTGTCGCAAACACACCCAGCAACACACACGGCCGGGCACAGCTCGTTCGGGTGTGTCCGAGATTCACAGGTGTGAGGACAGGCCGTGCCGCAGTCCTCCCAGTGACCGTTGGCGCATTCTGCAAGTAAAGGAACATGTAGTTAAAGAACCCAACACACTTATTGAGAAGAGTTAGCCTTCTACTCAGACTTGTGGGCGCCGGCGTTATTTTTTTTCTTTTTCGGGGAGCGACGAGGGAGTTTGCCGGGGAGAGAGTGACGTGAACGGTGAAAACCTAGCCGGTAAACTCTCTCGGCAGCAAAAACTCCCTCCGCGGCAAAACTCGCGTCGCTCCCCGACAGCAAGCTGCGGCCCCACAAGTCTGCGAGGAGTGGTCTGGGGGTGATCCGGCGGCGTGCTTGGCTATGCATGTCGTAACGAAATCTTATTATGCTAGTTCGTAACGCAGGCTGTGACAGACCCAATCAAGGATCTGAGATAGCCTTTTGCTGTAATATGATAGACTTGTATGCCTATCCCAGGAATGCCTGATTACACGACGATCGTTACCCCTTACCGTACAGGCTCCATACTCGTCTTAACACTATGACAAAGCATACGTTCTACGTGTACATGTAGATAATACCGGTAAAAGGAAATACCTTGGGTAGCCACCACTTTGATGACCACAGAGAGAACGATTGCCGCCCAAATCATCTTGCAAGACCGTCTCTGCAAGTTAAGAGGCTTAAATGTCAAGTTCACTCGCCTCTGTTCTTGTGATAGGGCAATAACTGTCCGTCTCCTAGCGACCATAGAATCGAACGTCTGACGCAAATCCTATTGCCGGCGCCGGACGCAGGGCGTGTTGACATGTATCAACCCATGTATTGTACATATCTAAAAATAAGACCGATTTCAAAATAAAACCTATTAAAACGCCAGCTTAAACACACACACGCACGCACGCACGTACACACACAACGAACGCACACACACAAACACACACACACACGCACGCACACACACATACACACACACACACACACTCACACACACTAACACACGCACGCACGCACACAAACACACACAACACACACGCACGCACACACGCACACGCACATGCACAGGCACGGACACACACACACACACTCTCTCTCTCCCTCCCTCTCTCTTTCTATTAAGGTACAATTGAATATTCTTTGAGAGGCCAGTGTAGTGTTTGCAATATGTTTAACTTAGTGTTGGCACTATATTAGTATTGACTGTGTGTCTAAGGTAACGGAACTCCGCAAGCTCATATATTGTATTATAGATAACCTCTGACCTTCTATTCTTGTACTGACGTAGTCACAATTTGTGCGCCGTGCTGATGAGTCGACGGAGAATACTGTTTTTCATTGTTCATATATACCTTTTAATAGTTCTGCTGCAAGATCTATGTTTTATTATTCTTTTTTTTAAGTGAGCTCTCATAGTCTGGCTTCTATAGCTTCTCATATGATAGTGCATTCCACACTCACTCACACACTCACCCACTCACTCACTCACTCACTCACTCACTCACTCACTCACTCACTCACTCACTCACTCACTCACTCACTCACTCACTCACTCCTCTTGCACGCTGTGTGTCGAGCCTACCAGGCGAACCAGCTCTCTCCATCTCTGTCTGCATTCCACAAATCCATTATAAACCAAAAAAAAAAACACCAAATGCTGCTATCACATTCTAAGAGATTTTTATTCACTTCATGAACGTCTGAAGAAAGTGGATGCATCTGACAGTTTCCGACGCCTATCCAGTTACTTAATCGAGTAATGACAATGAACTTTATTGCATATTTACGCCCTACATCGGCCAAATGCACTAAGGGATACGGAAAGAAGGAACAAGTGTTACATCACTGTGCTACGTCTATGTCTACAGGATCTACAGAATCTCTTCTCTCTTAAGTAATAATTATGTTTACCGAAGGAAAACATGTTGTTTTTCCTTCTGTTCCAAACACTAACCTCTGACCTGACCAATGGCCTCTTTTGTTGACGTCTGTCACCATGGTAACTGGTGTTGGGTTACATAATGTTGTAATCTCATAGTAGGCATTTAGACTCCTGCCACCATATACATGTATATGTGAATGTGTTTGATTAAGAATTAAGAAAGCAGACCATATCCGAAGGTAAACATTATGCATTTGCTTTGCAAATGTTACTTTTCTAGTTCCTTGTGTATCTGCAGACTAAACCTCCTGATGCCTGCATACTGGGACTCAGTCGGCCCGCCTAACGCCCAGGTTTGCCTGTTTTTAAACAAGATCAACATCAGGATCACAATTTGCATAACATACATTATATGTTCCGAGACTCAATATTGAAGATATAACATTATTAGCAAATGACCAGCAAAAACACGTGCACCAACGATTATATATAGCTTTTATCATCTACACCGGTACCAGAAAACAGTACTAGCATCTCCCAATGGATTCTTGAAAATACAACTTAAGTTCATATTGCCATGTGAAGACCCCTGCATTGTACGTATTGGTCGTTGTTTTGAAATTCCACCAATAACGCCCTGACATGAAAAAATGATGGAAATATAACTACTACATGTATTGTAAAGGCCTGTACTATATTGAGTTGCTCGCCAGGGCTAGCCCTCTGTACAACAGAACATAAAAGTTAGACCAAATCATGTAGTAAAATAATTTACCATCGGGGCAACGTTCCGGGTTGATACAGGCTCCATGGTGTGACACGAACCCGTCATCACAGACACACGACGGCACGCACACGCCCCCGCACCCGCCCTGGGTCTCTCCGCATACCTGCGGGCACGCAGATCCGCACTCAGACCAGTGGCTGTTAGCAGGGCATGCTGGGGAAAGAACACAACAAACACACAAATAAACAAACAACCAAATATCAGAAGCACATGATTTACACACACGCCCTGGGTCACTCCACATACCGGGCAGGCTGAGCCACACCCATACCATTGACTATACTTGGGGAGAAAAAAACCGCAAGAAACAAACAAACAAATAAGCAAAACAAATTTTACCTCTGGCCTGAGTCAGTGGCGTTTTTGGAGAAAATTCCAAGCTTCG